TTAATGATTGAATGATTTGTGTGGGGTGGGGTTTTGGGGTTCTTCATAGATGCTAGATTTTAATCTCCTGTCAGATGTACAGTTGGACAGCTTCTTCCCACTCTGGGCTGTCTGCAGTTTCTTTTGCTATACAGGAGATTTTACCTTCGTGCCAGTCCGTCTGTCAGTCCTGTTGTTTCGTGGGTGATTGGTGTCTTTCAGAAAGTTTTTGCCTGTGCCTAGATCTTGAAGGGTTTTCTCTAGCAATATAAAACATCCAGGTTTTATATTAAGGTCTCTGATCCATTTTGAGCTGATTTTTGTTGCTGACAAGAGTGGTCTAGTTTCTTTTTTTTTTTTTTTTTTTTTGCTCATAGATGTCCCCTTCCCAGCACCATTTGTTGAAGGTGAAGCCCTCAAGCCCTTTAAAGTTCAGAAAATTATCCCAGAAGTCAGACACTGAGCTTCACACTTTGGTTTGACTATAATTTGTGGCCGTGCCCTGATCTTTCCCTGTGGGAGAAAAAAAAAAGGTAAGAGCCCCCAGTTATGAGACCTTGGGTATTAGAGAAACTTTGAAATTTTAGAGAGACTATGAATATTTTAAAGACATGGGTCTTATAAGTGATGAAAGTTCAAAAATCTGTGGAACTTTTAAAGTTATGTTTTATATGGTGTTAATACAAGATCTTGGGGGTGAACAAAAATGGCAAGTGATATGTATTTTTATACATTTATTTATTACATATACAATCTTCTGCCTGCATGCCAGCAGAAGGCACCAGACCTCATTCAAGATGGTTTTGAGCCACCATGTAGTTGCCGGGAATTGAACTCAGGACCTCTGGAAGAACAGTCAGTGCTCTTAACCGCTGAGCCCTCTCTCCAGCCCGTGATATGTATTTTTAAATGGCAAGAGGGTTATCTCCATTCACTCCTAGAGTCTCGATTCTCTGTGATGACAGACCATGACATCTGAGGTGGGTCACAAAATATGGTGGCTTGCACTTCTCCCTTCTCTTGAAATTTCCTCTGGCAAAAACCTGCCCTCAGGCAATCAGCTTATGCAAAGATAAATCATGGTGGCCACGCAGTGAGGAAGTTAAGGCTTCACTTGAATTTGGAGTGGATCCTCTAGTCCCAAGCAAGCTTGCTGATCTGTTCAGCCCTGGTCTCACATCTTGACTTTACGTTCTGGGAGATCCTAAAGCAGAACCACAAATGACTTGCTCCCAGTTCCCAGCCTGAGGAAGCTGTGAGACAGTGTTACTTGTTAAGGTAGTAGATGATGCAAACAAAATTCCTGCACGTCTTGCCACAACGTTTCCAACAGAACAGTTACGTCTAAAGTAACCACATGCTCAGTGAGCTCCAAATTGAGGTGAGTTTGCCAGACCAACCAGCACTTAGCAGTATTGTCTGCACTGGGCTCACAGTACCTTGGTCTTTGTCTTCTGACATGTCACCATGTGACTACAGGTGGACTTCAGCAGTTGAGAGCACCCCAGCTGCACACGTTGGCACTTGGAGGCTGGGACACCTGTCTTTGTATCTTCTGCACACCATACTGGGGAAGTCCTCAGAAGACATTGGGCCATATTGTGTGTGTGCCCAGCTGCTTTCTTAGCTAAACTTTGTTGTAGTACCCATGAGGCAGTTTTGAGGGTTGAGTAATGGGGTTTAAAGCAGGTGACTAGCCCTGGGCTCTGTGTGTGGGACGTGAGATGGAAATTTTTAGGGAATAGTTTAGGGTGCCATGCACCTTGTCTGAGACTTAATCTCCCTCTGGGACTGGAGCTTTGTTGGTTTAGGCTAGGCTGAGTTAGCATCGAGTACAGGGTTCCCAATCTGTGTCTCCAGCCTGGGATTATAAGAACATGCAGTCATGTTCAGTTTTCTATGTGGGCGCTGGAGATGAACTCAGGTTCTCATGCTTCTGCAACAAGCACTTTACCACTGAAGCATCTGTCCCTAACGACTGTCTACCTGGATCTGGGGCACACCCTCCTTTCTCAATTTATGACCTCGGATCTAGGAAGAGGTCAGACTTCATAGATGACTTTGGTTACCAGGAAACAAAGAACTGAAACTGAAACCAGGGTTATTTTAAAAGGATAGAAACTGTATGGTGGGTCCCCAGCAGACGTAGCAGTCTGCCAAAGACTGTCCCCTCGGCTCTGTATTCACTGTTTTCTCTGTCCTCTCTCCAAGACTGAGCGTGTCTCTTGTTCTCCACCACTACCCTCAATCTAATCTGGGTAATCTGCATGCTGACCCTGTTTTTTCCTCAGTGCTCAGCTGTTACCACTCAACAGTGAACATAAAGGGGTTCAGAAGAGGCTCTCCTGAGAAAGTCGGGGAATACTCCCTTGAAAAAACCAGAGTAGGCAGAAAGAAGGGTTCAGGAAGAAAGCAGCTAGGAGGGTTTGAACGGGAAGCAGCAAGAAGAGCCAAGGTTCCAAAGGGTCCCAGGACATCCAAGGCCTTGCAGAGAGAGAGTGTTTTATGTTTCCGTCCTCCCACTGGAAGGTGGAGTGACCATAGACATCAGTGTAGCCAGGGACTCTCACAGGAAACTGATATGAGCTGGCAGTTCCTTGCATGAAGAACCTCGGACTGACAGGATTTTGTAATTTTGAGACAAGTTCTTGCTATGTGGCCCAGGCTGGCCCCACAATCCTCTTGACTCTTGTTTCTTGAGCGTTAGGATTATAGGGGTTCCACCACAGCCAGTTTGGGCTCAGACTTTTTAAGTGCCTCAGCCATAGGAACTTATGTCAGAACAGCTGCCTCCATATCCCTTTCCATCTGCCCGCCTGGACTATTTCTTTCTAGTCCTTCTTGGTACTCTAGGATCCAAACCCAGTGATGGAGATGGGCCAGGAGGAATAGGAAAGCCCTCTCCAAATTGGCTGAGGGAGCATGGCTACATACGGGAATGGATCACAAATGGACCACAGGGCTCCAGAACAGAACAAGTCGATTGATGAGCTGCCCTAACACCATCTGACTAAAGTACATCCATCAAGGCTTAGGCTAACTGCCTAACCAGTATCAGTTGCTTTACTGTCTGTGCTGGCTGGTTTTATGTCAAGGTGACACAAGCTGGGGTCTTCAGAGAAGAGGGAGCCTCAACTGAGAAAATGCCTCCATAACATCCAGCTTTAAGACATTTTCTTAATTAGTGATCTACAGGGGAGGGCCCAGCCCATTGTGGGTGAGGCCGTCCTTAGACTGGTGGTCCCAGGTTATATTGAAAGCAGGCTGTGCAAGACAGTAAGCAGGACCTGTCCATGGCCTCTGCACTAGCTCCTGCCTTCAGGTTCCTACCCTCACTGCTTTTGATGAAATAAATTCCTTCCCAAGTCGCTTTGGTCACAGTGTTTCACTACATCAGTAGTAACCCTAAGACACTGCTCCTTCCATGTTCTGGGGGTCAGGTTCAGGACATGGCCCAGCCCTGGACTTGGATGTGGCCTCAGGAAGCTGCTTGTTCCCCTAAACTATAATCTAACCACTCCAGTTCTGCCAACCACTCCTATGAGACTTCTGACTCTCAGTTGGGGATAATTTGTCACAATCATTCAAGATGTCCAGGTAAAACAGCCCAGATCCTTAACGATGCCTTTTAAATGGGGTACAGCTTTCAGCCTGCCAGAGGCAGAATCACCTGGGTCAACATCATGTGTACTAAGGAAAAAGTGCCCGTCCCACAATGAGGGATGCTCTCTCAGCTGGACTCTAGGGGGAGAGCCTAGGCCCTGCCCTGGATGAAATGACAGACTCTAGAGACTTCCCCCATGGAGGGCTTCACCCTCCCTAGGGATCGGAGTGGGGATTGGGAAGGGGGCTTGGGAACCTGGTCGGGGGAGGAGGGGAGGGAGAGGGAGCTGGGATTAACATGTGAAGCAAGCCTGTTTCTAATTTAAATTAAAAAACTGTTGGACTATGTGGCTACCCCCTTTTTTTTGACAACCTCAGCAAAGACGAGTATCCTGTCTCAAGTCGTGATGCTGAGGTCTAGTGGAGTCAGGGTGGTAGTGTCGTGCCACAGCAGCATTGCTGCAACGCAGGGCAGGCGGTCCCTCTTCCAGCAGTGGACGCTCGCCCTGCCTCACGATACAAAACGGACTTCACCCTGGCTACCCTTTCTCCAATGCTGAGTATTGCTGGCCCCAAGGAGGCAAACATCAGGGCAGCTCTACCAGGTGGCGGGCAGCTGTCACAAAAAGGCGTGAGGCTTCTTCTCCCTCACTTCGACTCTGTGTGAGGCAGCAGCAGCGCAGCCTCTGGCAGGTTCGCGTCCTTCCTGGGGGCCGAAAGAGCCGGTCCCTGCGGGAGAGTGGGCTCTCGAGCAGGCCAACAGGTCACCGTCCGCGTCTCCCCACGGCACTGAGAAACCGTGAATGGAGTAAGTCCAGGTAGCCACCAGCCAGCCAGCAAACGCCCAGCCACTCAGGGGCTCAAGGACCGCGGCCGCCGCACCCCGCGGCCCCTCTGGGATCCAGAGTCCGGTACCCAGTTGTTTCGAGACGAACGCCCAAGACGGGCAAGTCTCGATCCCGGTGACAGCTCTGCCTGCCCAGGGCCACACAACCCCCAGGCGCGGACACTAGGTCGGCCCCCGAGCGGCCCCATCGCGCCTGTCCTCAGCAGCTCTTTCAGAGCACAGGGAGGAAACCAACCGTATACCAACTTCCTGCCCGACACCGGAAGGAGCAACGCATGCTGGGACGTAGCCGGCTCCAGTGATGAGCGAAGTAAGCTGGGAGCGGCGCTGCACGCTGGGATAGGTAGTTGACAAAGCGACCTAAAGCAAAGCGTCTTTTCAGCTTCCTGTGGTCCCTTAGACCTCGAGTTCAAGCGACAACGGCTGCGCCGTCCCGAGAATAAAGCCGCACATTTTTATCTGGGTGGTGCCGCCAGGGAAGAGACATTGCGATGAACTCTCGCGAGAGCGGAGCTGCCGGGTCCAGCCCCCCTCCCCGACTCGGAGCTGAGGCGCGTGCGCAGTTAGGCAGCGATGTCACATGACCCGAGCGAGGCTCCTAGTTGGCTGCAGCCGGGTTACCTGGACAACGGAGCTTGCGGCGCCAGGCGGGTCAGCACCAGTAGGTCTCGCGGGCTAAGCTGCCCAGGTTTGCAGCGACGGTCACGCACTCGCTCCCGGGCGGCGACCGAGTCCACAGGCAGCAGATGGGAGCCCAGGGCGCCGAAGATGCGGGCGGTCGGGGCCGAGACGCCGGCGCGGGAGCTCTTCCAGGACGCCGCATTCCCCGCCTCGGACTCCTCGCTCTTTTTCAACTTGTCCACGCCTCTGGCCCAGTTTCGGGAGGACATCACTTGGAGACGGCCCCAGGTGCAGCCGGGTCTCTTTCCGGGGCGGGTGTTGCGGATAAGTTTCCCACAGAGGTGGGCTCTGGGCTCAGCTGGACCCGCCGCCCGTTCTGGTAGTTCAAGTCCATTCAGAAGGAGGTGCTAGTGAGGGTTGAGATGAGGTAGCTAGCTCCTCCAGTTCAAAAGACAGGTAGTAAGGAGGTTGTTCTGATATGAAGATTAGAAGCAGTAAATCCAGGTCCCACCACCTAAGTTTCGTCAGGTGTAACTCAGCATTCTTTGACAAATCTTTCTTCTTCAATGTGTGTTTCTTCTTCTTTTTTTTTCCTCCTTAATGTGCATTGGTGTTTTGTCTGCATTCATGTCTGTGCGAGGGTGTTGGATCCCCTGGAGCAGCCATGTAGGTGCTGGGAATTGAACCCGGGTCCTTTAGGAAGAGCAGCCAGTTCTCTTAACTGCAGAGCCACCTCTCCAGCCTGGACAAATCTTTCTTGGCTTTGTATTTTGCTTATATTTCTTTTAGTAGCTCTTGGCGCTGGGGTGTGAACACTGGGAGGGATCATTGTGGTTAACCAGCACACAGTGGAAAACCTTAGGGGCTGCTGCTGTTGGCTTCCCCGGACTCCTAAATGGTACAGGCAGGTGCGACTGTGTATTGTAAAGCAGACAGTGTGGTTCTGGTCACCAGTGAGCAGTTTCTGGTTTGACTGGTCAGTTTGTCGCAGATGTATTCAGTGGCACAGTTTAGCCTGCAGGAGCAAATCTATTTGATTGATCCAGAAGCTGGAGGTGAAGCGGCATAAGGACCCGTAGAGCCACCTGGTCATTGTAACTGGCGCTGCCCCTCTTTCTGGCTTCTCTCCAGCCTCCATTAGTCTTGGTCACTTACAGATCTGCTCCACAGAGCAGTGTTGTCCCCCAAGGCCACAAAGAACTGCGGTAGGTGTTGTTTTGGACTTTGCATAGATAAAATAGATGCCCAGACCTAGTGCTCTTGTTGGTGCTTTTAGACATGGCTGATCTACTGAACAAGACTGACCAGGGAACAGCCTGCCCCACATGGATAGCGCGTCGCTGTATCCATGACAACCGGATGGACACCAGCCCTTCTGCTACCTGCACTGCTTGGTTGATAAGCATCCTGGTTTTTCCTGGGTAGCACTGAGAATTTCAGGTTTTGTTGTTGTTTTTTCTTTAAAAATGGGTTTTACATGGTGGCTAACAACCATTTGTAAGTCCAGTCCCAGGAATTCAACAGTCTCTTCAGGCCTTCAAAGGCGCTAATGTGCACATGGTCCACAGACAACAGATTCAAGAAAACACTCGTATGCATAAAATACAGGTTAATAAATGGATTTCCAGTGCCATGAGAGACCTGTAAAAGATTTTCAGTTAAGGGGTGTGTCGGAATGTTTTAAGGAGCTTGCTCTTTGGTAACTAGGACACAGGGATAATATCCTTTTGGATTTTAGATTGTAGCCATGTGAGTATATTGCCTCTTTATGACTGTACCAACAGTAGTAAACAAGTCAGAAAAAGAACAGTGGGAAAGAAACTCACTCCTGGGAGGGAAATGAGAGATGGTTGTTGGGGCTAGAATTCAGGCTGCCCTTTTAGGAGTTCTGGAAGTTGATCTTGACGTTCAGGTTAGCCTGACAACTGAGTGGAGCCGGCGTTGCAGTAGACAGCTTTGAGAATTGAAACAGCTCAGCAGACAGTCATTTACTGCCAAGCCTAATGACCTAGGCTTGATCCCCGGGACCCACATATGATGGAAAGAAAGAACACATTCCAATAAATTGGCCTCTCACCTCCATACTCATACTGTGTTGCAAGCAAACAGCATGATTTATACAGGTAGATAAAAAAGAATGGCTTCTTGATTTCTGGCCAGAGTGATGGTGATAGTCTAGGCAGCACCCAGTTTGCCTACCTTGTTCTGGTGGAGCTGTCAGGTAGATGGGGCAGAAGCCCAGGAAGAGTATGACAGATGGGATAGATGGTTTACAGTCCGGCTGGGACGAGCCACTCTGGACCTAGGTTAGGGGTAGAGGAAGGATCTCAAGACTTAGCCTTAAGCCTTGATGTTTAAGTATGCAAACGAGCACCCCAACAGGCAGGCAGCAGCAGGCAGTGAGGAAGAGTACCATAGGAGCATGTGGCATCATGGGAGCTAATGGGAGCCTCTGTGTCCTTGAAGAGCAGGGGCAGCCAGCCATTCTGAAAGTTACTAAATGACAAGACATGCCCATTATGTTTGACGTCACGAAGGTGAAATTGAGGCAGTTTGGGGGCATGATTGACGGAGGAGCAAGAGGAGACTTGGTTGAGAGTGAAGGGCAGGGACAGTAGGGTTGCAGTTTCCCTGGGAAACTGCCATTGAAGGCAGCCTAGGAGGGAATACAGTGCTGCCAGATATGAAAAACAGGAGATCTGTATCCTGCTAGCGTGCTGGTGTGGTCTGGCCAGGAGTGGGATGCCTGAACATGTAGAAGGGAGAGGGTGTAACAGGAAGAGCCCAGCTCCAAGGTAGCAGAAGGTTGGTGTCCAGTGGCTTCTGTGACGCAGGAGGACAGGTTTGTAGCTCAGGTATGCAGGCAAAGGGGATGAGAATGCTTTGAGAAGAGAGATAAAGGGGATGGTGTGAGGTTGTCTGATGATTGGGCAATTGAACCTCGTAGAGACACAGTAGACTTTCCAGCAGTGCAAAGGACCCATTTGATATTTGTCGCCATGAATTTATGAAATAGAGCTGGTTTCTAAACTTAGCTGTTTCACAAAGGGTCACCTGAAATTGAGGTCTTGCCAATGAGGAACGTGCGTAGAGATGTTCCATGGGAGAACTGTAGCCTGGAGGTGCTGAAGGGTAGTGGTGGCCGAGGAGTAGCTTCTCCTTTTATTTTGGGCCAGAAGCTTAGCTAATCTTAGGAAAGTGCCTCTGTAGCCTGTCCTGGATTCATGTGTTCTTAGTTTGAAGGGTAGTCACAGGCATGAGCTAACTCTGGACGAATTGCTTTCAGGAAATCTGTGCCACACCCCAGCTGTTTCCAGATAACCCATGGGAGGGACAGGTGAAGCAAGGGCTGCTGGGGGATTGCTGGTTCCTGTGTGCCTGTGCTGCCCTGCAGAAGAGTCAACACCTCCTGGACCAGGTACAAGCCACCCTAGGCTTCTCCCTACTGTTTCCTTCTACCTGCACAGTACAGGTTCTTCCAAAAGCATGGCCTGCTGCAGCGTATTTTGTAGCTGTAATGGGGAAGGTTAGGACACTAAGACCATGACCCAGATGTGTCCTGTCCACCAGACCAGAGCCACCCACACATTTGGGACACAAAAACGGGCTAAGCTGGCAGGTAGAACAGGGTCAACAGAGGCATCTTGTCTCTGGCTTGGAATTTGTTTTCTCTACTGGATTGATTCCTTTCTTTTTTCATATGTAGGTGTTAAATACCAATAGGGAAAAGGTCACTGAGACTCTTCTGATACAGGCAGACTCCATAACGAAGGCCTTGTGGGTTTTCTTTCTCACAGTGTTGCCTGTTTTAGGTTGGCTCATTGCTCAGGGTTTTCAGTTAAGGCAACAGCATTGAGGGGTAACCTGCGTATGACTTCTCTTGTGTCCTGGGCCCTGCGCTAAGCTCGTCACTGTTGTTACCTCTCCTTACAGGCTTGCTGACATTTAACTTTTCTGTAAAAGAGGATGCTGGTGCCATTGTCAGCATATGTCCTCTGTTACTGACAGTTGGAGCCAGCGCCACACTAAGTCTCTCCCTAGATGCAGAGCCTGCTTTTGCCTACTAACAGAAGCGGGCAGCAGACCTAGCTGGGCCAGTGATGACCAGACAGTTTGGTGCACTTGGCTTTGAGAAGCAGGAAGGACTGCTAGACCTGTGGCTTCCTGCTATAGCCAGGCCTGTGGAGAATTGGGTTACAGAAGTGGGGCGTGGTGGCGCACGCCTTTAATCTCAGCACTGGGGAGGCAGAGGCAGGTGAATCTCTTGAGTTGGAAGCCAACCTGGTATACAGAGGGGAGTTCCAGGACAGCCAGTGCTACACAGAGAAACCCTGTTTCACCCCCCACCCCCACCCCCCACAAAAAAGTAAGTTACTCCTGCCTGCCAAAGCTTTGGATTCAGGTCAAATGCTTATTTGGGACAGTAAATGTGTTGGCTGTAAGCTTTGGGGACATGAGTTATTTGTGTGAAAATGTGGATTTTGTGTTCACTGGTTGAGTTTGTTGTGACATGACCATATAGATCTGGCATCCAACAGAGCACAGCCCTGTTCTCTCAGCAGGTGTTCATGGAGGGCTTCTGTTAAGGCCACACTGTCAGGGCCACACAGAGGAGCAAAGGTGATGGTGGCACCTCAGGTATCTGCAGTGCTTCTGTGAGGCCACACCGTTGGGACACTGAGGAGCTCACCGATGCGGATCTCATGCTGTCTGTTTGACCTCTCCTTGTACATGTTAGGTCTTCCCTCCAGGACAGCCAAGCTGGTCTGACCAGAAGTACCAAGGTTTCTTCACCTGTCGAATTTGGCAGTTTGGACACTGGGAAAAGGTGACCATAGATGATCGTCTGCCTTGCCTTGCCGGGAGACTCTGCTTCTCCCGGTGCCAGAGAGAGGATGTGTTCTGGCTTCCCTTACTGGAAAAGGCCTATGCTAAGTACGTATGGTATGGAGGTGGCTGGGCCAGCCAGATTGGGTGGCTTTAACACCCAGACTGTCCCCAGAGGCCCATCTCCTCTGCCCTGGGATGCAGAGTGCTCTGTAGTTCTCGGGGTCTGCAGTCAGTCCTGCGGACACTCTGCTTTTAGGACTGTGCTTTGCCCTCCCTGCCTAGCACTTTGAGAGGTCCTCATCCTCAGTGCCAGCACAAAGGTGCCCCATGTATGTTTCTGCCATTCAAGATAAGTGCTTTGTTGCCTGTGTGCAGGGAGTGAGGAGCCTGGTGTGGAGCAGCATTTGCTCCTTCCAGTCCTCTTACTGCAGTCCCCTTGGACAGTTGTCCCTCCTGCATGGTGTCTGGCATCTTGTTGAAGGAGGCTGGCTAATGGGCAGGTGTCTGAGCAGAGGGGCTCAGAAGGCTAGGGAATCAATACTTGGGACAGTGGGTTTGAACTTCTGAGATGGAGCCCCTATGCCCCCTTGTCTTGTCCTTTGCTGCCCACAATAGAGCATGGGTCTGAACTTGGGCAGAGAACAGCAGGGCCATAGCAGATTTTGACATTTACAGACGAGTGAAGATGTGATTCGAAGCCGAGGAGCCATCCAGGTGCAGTGCAAGTGTGGCTTGGAAGGTGCTTTGGGGTGTGATGGATTGTGGGACTAGGAGAGGCAAGAAACCCCCAGCGGCAAGGCTTACACCTCCTGTGCTTATGGTTCCCAGGGTCCATGGATCCTATGAGCACCTGTGGGCAGGGCAGGTGGCAGATGCCCTGGTGGATCTCACTGGAAGCCTGGCGGAAAGGTGGAGCTTGAAAGACATAGTGGGAGCCAGTGGCCAGCAGGACAGACCCAGCGGCGGGGAGCAGAGGACTTGTCGGCAGCTACTCCGCCTGAAGGATCAGTGTCTGATCAGCTGCTCTGTGCTCAGCCCCAGAGCAGGTACAGCCTGTGGCTACAGCTCCCTCCACCATTAGCTTGTTACAGAGAAGAACGTCTGTCCCAGAGAGGGCTGTCGTGGGTTTGTGTAGTTCTCTTATCCCTCCAGAGAGAGGTGACCTTCTTTCTACTTGATTAGTCCCTCCCCCTAGAGCAACGCAGGACCTGCATTGTGTCCCTTTGCTTCCAGACAACTTAGAAGCAGTAGCAGGAACAGGATCTGAGCTGACCGTGCCATCATCCCTGCCCAGCTGGTGACCAGCCAGAATCCACAGCCATTTTCTGTCTTACTGACACATTAAGTTTCATGAAGGAAAGTTCGTGTAAAAAATGAGAAGAAAGAAAAGCTCACCCAAATAAAACTACTATAAGCTGTTTACAACTTTTCAGTGCCCTTCTTGAGTTTTCTCCTGTGTATACAACCTTTTCTGTTTTTGTTATATAGCATTGTCTATGTTATTATGTAAACTTTGGAATATTTTTCTCCATTGCTGGACCTGCAGTAATTTTCTTGATCCTTCCAATAATGTTGGATGGTTCAGATCCTTTCTTGCTTTTGTTGTTGTTGCGCTTGTTTCGTTTTTTTTTTTTTGTAGGGGTTCAGGCTTGTTTAGAACTCAGGTAGTCCTCCTGCCTCTGATTCATGAATGTTGAGACCCTGGCAGTATTACATGCCTGGCTAGATCTTTCTGATAATAATAATACTGCAGTAAACACCTTTACAATCTTCTATTCACATTTAAGAGTAATATAACTTTGGTTCAAAATTAGGAACCCCGGGTGCTCAGTCAGTCAAGTACTTACTGCACAGCCTGAGGACCTGCATGGATGTTCAGCACCAAGGTCAAAGGCTAGGCACGCTGATGGGTGCTTACAATTCCAGTTCTGCGGAGGTGGAGACAGGAGGATGCCTGGGGCTCGCTGGCCAGCCAGCCTAGTTGTTGAGTTAGTGAGCTCCAGGTCCCAGTGAGAGACCCTGTCTCAAAAAATAACGGTGGGTTGCTCCTGAGGAATAACACCAAAGCTGTCTTTTGGCCTGTACACACATGTGCACATGCACACACACACACACACACACACACACACACACACACACACACACACACGTGAACACTTGCGAATAATGAAATACGACTATCCAAATAACCAAAAACTCGTTGGTGATCACACTGCTCGTCCAGCAGCTAAGAGCTGGCAAAGCTCTGGTCTGGGACCCCCTCAGGCAGATGTGGGATTAAAGGGAAGGACAGGGTATGCTCACTGCTGTACACGCTGCCTCTACTAAACCTCCTCCCAAGGGTGGGAGGTGACCATTGACCCTCAGCTCCTTGGAACTGTTGATGTTGGGTGGCCCCAGAGTGTGAGGACTGGTTCTGAACCCTTGGCTTGTAGAGAGCCCCTCTCCCTGGCAGAGCTGCCGGGGCTACTGAAGCCTCACGGGCTGGGGTTGAGAGGGACACCGAATGGTGGCTGCAGAGCCTTTGGGAGTAGACCTGTCTCCACCCTCCTCCTGGCTCCCACCCTCCCTGGAATATCACTTCTCTTTGTTCTGTGGTCATTTCCAGGTAGAGTTTCTCTTGTCCTCAAGTCTTCAACATTGACTTCTGGTTCACATGTTCCTTCTCCATCTGGCTTTGCTGTGAGGCAGGAGGATGTCTTTTAGCTATTGATGATCTTAGGTATGTCGGTGACAGTTACAGTGATTTCATACTTGAAAGCTGGCCCTGCACTGAGACACGTGAAAACTGAGGCCCAGAGGAAGGACTGTTGTGTGCGGCGCCAGTACTTGGTGGCAGTGAGCCAGGGCCCAGCTGGTGGCCCTTCTTGGCACAGAATGCCAGCGAGCACTGCAAGTAGCTGGCCTGTGTTTAGGAAAAGAGCTCCTCAATGCCATAGAGACCCAAGGCATCAGGAAAGAAGCAATCTGTGTTCTGTCCAGTTTGGGGCATGGTTCCACTGGTCCTGCACATGACTGAGCTCTTCCCACAGGTGCTAGGGAGCTTGGGGAGTTCCATGCCTTCATCATCTCAGATCTGCGAGAGCTGTGGAGTCGCACTGGCCAGGGTATCCTTCTGTTGCGGATTCATAACCCTTGGGGCCGACGTTGTTGGCAGGGCCTCTGGAGAGAGGGGTAAGTACCAGGAGGGCCTGCGTGTGGCAGGAGGGGTTGATACTATGAGGGCATCCATGCCATGATGCCCATCTGGCCTGTTTCATGCTCATGTCCAGCTGCCAGGGTAATGCTTGCTTTTCTGTGGCAGAGCTCACTCAGAACCTGTTTACTTTGTCTAGGTCTTGGAAGACCTGAGATTATACAATTATTTTTTTATGGGGTTTTATCTTGGGTACCTGTAGGATAGTGGATGCCTGGCCAGGCATTTGGATGAGTTGGGGTTTGAGGGTGGCCTGTAGCCAAAGTCCTCAGCACAGTTTTAAGACCCAACTAAACCAGGATCCCCCTGATGCCTGGGAGCCTCTGCGCCCAGGCTGGTCTGGTGCTGCCATTAAGTAGAGCAGCACTCTACATGACATAACAGCCCCTTCAGGGACTAGAAGGTCTGGGCTTTGGTGTGATGGCCTCCAGAAGGCAAGTTCTCAGGCATGGGGTCCCCCTGGGGAGGAGGGTTTCCGATGGACAGCCAGCACACAGACACAGAAGGTGCCTTCTGTAGGTCACTTCTTAGCAAGGGAATGTGCTGTGCAGCTGGCCATCCAGGGTCTGGCAGAAACGTGGGCTCTGCACCCTCCAGCGTCCACCTCCCTGTTTGCCGGTTGACAGTTCACCTTGAGCTTGTGCTGAAATAAATTTTCTGCAGGGGCGAAGGGTGGAACCAGGTAGATCCATCCAAGGAGTCTGAGCTGCTGGCACAACTCCAGGAGGGAGAGTTCTGGGTGGAGGAAGAGGAGTTCCTCAGGGAATTTGACGAGGTCACCATTGGCTACCCAGTCACAAAGGCTGGCCACCTACAGAGTCTCTACACAGGTAGGACTGCCCGCAAGAGTGGATTTCTGCTCTGTGAAGTCAGGAGCCTTCACAGAATGGCACACCAGTGACTGGGTACCCTTCCTTCCTAATGGGCTGACTGAGGACCTGGGAAAAGGGAATGGGTGGGGTTCTGTCTCGGAGGGTGGGCTGACTGCCACTGTGTGCTTGCCTTGGCCTTGTGGGTGCAGCAGAGCCAGCAAGCTCCTCAAAGCTGACTCATGTGCTCTCCCACCAGAGAAGGTGCTGTGTCACACTCGGGCACTGCCTGGCGCCTGGGTTATCGGGCAGTCAGCTGGAGGCTGCCGGAACAACAGTTGCTTTCCCTGCAACCCCAAGTTCTGGTTACGGCTCTTGGAACCTAGTGAGGTGTGTGCCGCTGTCCTTCAGAGACCCCGGAGGTGCCTACTGGGTCAGACCCGGTCACTGTTAGGTGCCAGTCCAGCACCTGAAAATCTCCCAAGCAAGGACTACCAGGCTGTGGGCCTGCACATCTGGAAGGTAACTCCATCTGCTCGTCCCATGGAGGGAAGGCAGGCAGAGGTATTGGAGGCCTGGGTCCCAGGAACACCCCATCTTTGGCTATTGATTCCTTTTCCCATGTCCTCTGGGTGCAGGCATCTCTGATACTCCAGCAGATGTAACTGATTCACAGCCCACCTCTCACCCCAGAGGTGGAGGCTAGCCTGACCCCTACAATCCCCATCTTCCCAACGCAAGTTTCCCATTATCGAGGCTGGTGCCTGCCTTGCTTACTCCACCTAGCTGCCTTCCTCTGGGTCCCCCTTACAACCTGTAAGTGTTTAGGGCTATTTTATTGTCAGTCTCAGACATTTGGTTAGTTTTATAAACTAGTATCTATTTCCTAGAACAGACCTCAGGAGGAGCTGCTACTTGCTTACTCAGTGGCTACATTTTAATCTTTTGTATCTTGATAGAGTGTGACAACTCACACCACTGTTCATTGTCCTTTGACAATGGTCTGTTCCTCTTGTAAAAGAAATTTGTAGGAAAGTCCCTTTTCCAGCATCCCCCAGGCTGCACTGGTCATGGGCCTTTCTGAACATAGTTCTAGATTTGTCTGTTATGCACCTTTGAGAAAAGCCCTCAGTCTTTGGCATCTCCAACTGTCTCAAAAGGATGGATGCTATGGTCTGTCTCCTGGGAGCTATGCCTGAGCGATGAGGAGCAGGGAGGCAAAGGTCCGGTGTATTGGTGTGACTCTCCTCAGAGCCTCCTGCCTCCATTCATGCAGGTAGAGAAGCGGAAGGTCAGCCTGCCCAGAGTCCTGTCCGCACCCCCTGTGGCTGGTACTGCATGCCATGCGTATGACCGTGAGGTCCACTTGCGCTGTGAGCTCTCCCCGGGCTACTACCTGGTCGTCCCCAGCACCTTCTTGAAGGATGTACCAGGGCAGTTCCTGCTCCGGGTCTTCTCCACTGGGAAGATCTCCCTCAGGTGAGGAGCCAGTGCTGGCTGGGTTTCCTTCAACAGAACTGAGGCCTGGGGAGGGAGAGGGGTGTGCTCAGTGTAAGGTAGGCCTTGGGCAGGTTCCTTTGGACAAGGCTGCCATTGCCTTCTGTGCTTGTCCTCCTGACAGTGCTGTCAGGACGGCCACCAAGGGTGCCTCACCTGGAACAGCCCTGCCTGCAGGCGAATGGGAGACTGTGCAGCTACGGGGCTGCTGGAGAGCCGGCCAGACAGCTGGGGGCAGCAGGAACTTCGCCTCTTACCCCTGCAATCCCTGCCTCCCCTTCTCCGTTCCTGAGGGTGCTGGTCCCCGCTACATCCGTATCACCCTGCACCAACACTGCCGACTCAGTGACAGCCAGCTCCACCCCATTGGCTTCCATATCTTTCAGGTGAGCTGGGTTCGAGGAGAGGCCAGCTGCTGTGACACAGGCTCGATTCTGTCACTTGCGTCTGTCGGCCCAGCCGGCTGGCCTCAGGAGAGACTCACTTGCAGGTTCACAGTCTGTATTCACTGGGCTACCTGGAGCAGCTCACCTGGCTGAACATCAGCCTCAGTCACCCCAGCCACTGCACTAACGCCTCCTGTCTCTGTCCTGGGCCCTGGGGCTTTGTTAGGAGCTCTGAGGCAGAGCCCAGGCTCACCTTGAGATGGATGTGGTTCCAGGCAGTTACTGTAGAGAGGCCTCACTCACTCATTCCACAGACAGTGGTCACACACCCTATCCTTTCCCATGTCACTCTGTGGTGATGATTGTGTATGATTTATTAAAGCCACTGGAGAGCAAAGTAGCAAAGCAGCCATACTAGTTAGCCATAGAAGCCAGGCAGTGGTAGCACACACCTTTTTTGTTTGTTTGTTTTTTGTTTTTCGAGACAGGGTTTCTCTGTATTGTTTTTGAGGCTGTCCTGGAACTTGCTCCATAGTCCAGGCTGGCCTTGAACGTGTGCGCCACCACCGCCCAGCTCAGCACATGCCTTCTATCTGGAACCCCAGTGTCAGTGTCTGGGTTTTTGTTTCTTGTGCGGCGTCACTCACTGTCCCAGGTGGAGCTAACGAGAGCTGCTCTGTACCAGGATCAGGTAGGGCAGATAGGAGTCTGGATTCTGTTGGAAAGACTCACAGAGTCCAGAAGAACAGCAAGGGAGAGAGACTCGGCCACTGCCTGTAGCAGGACAGCCCAGTGGTTAGGTGCTACAGCCACAGCAAGCCCAGAGGATTCCAGATATGTACCAGCTGAGGAAAAGCTCTTGTGAGCCTGGCTCAGGACTTCTGGGCATGTGCTCCAGGAACTCTGCCTTGAGGTGGTCAGCCCAGGGTAGCCATAGATAATGGAGAAGAGGCCACACCAAAGGGCTTCAACGTGGGGACTCTGTGATGGCCCAGGAGCTCTGCTTATACCAGTGTCTGCCAGGCTGCTAAGTGAGTCTCAGACCTCCCCAGGATGCTTCTTTATCCTGTTTTGACCCTTAGCCAACAGGCCAGGGAACACTCTGAGCAAAGCTGTAGTTGGAGAAATGGGAGAAGAAAGAAGTTCTGCGCTAGAGGCCAAGGGTCTTAGGCTACAGATTCCATGATGACAGTGAGGCTTCCCATCCCATGATTGTTCATTTGGGGCCTCACTTCACGGTGAGCATTGACGGAGAATGCGGGTAACATGGGGAGGAGAGAGCAGGAATTGCTCAAAAAGGTTCTGTTGAGGGGTGTAAGTGTATCCCAGAAGGCTGGACTCTTGAGTCAGGCCACCTGGAGCTCTGACCAGGCCTCTGGCAAGAGTGGCAAAGGGGTGTAATAGCTCCGGGACTGAGCGTCAGCTACCCCAGCTGACCTAGGCATTATGCCCTCAGCTGAGCTGTTCAGAGGGAGAGCGAGCCATGCCATCGTGTATGAGCCTCCCCATGCTGATCCTACCTTTGCCCCAGGTTCCAGCAGATGGAGAGAGTCAGAATGCGTGTTCCCTGCTGCTCCAGGAGCCACTGCTAAGCTGTGTGCCACACCGCTATGCCCAGGAAGTGAGCCGCCTCTGCCTCCTGTCAGTGGGGACCTACCGGGTTGTGCCCTCCACCTACCTGCCAGATACGGAGGGCACCTTCACAGTGACCATAGCAACCAGAATTGACAGGTAGGGCTCCAGGCCTTGAGGCCAGCAGGGCTCCTCAGCACTGTAGCACTGTCTTCCACACAAGTGCCCTGCTTGGCCCACATGCCCGAGCTCCTGCCTCTCTGGCAGAGCCTAGAGGTGGGCCTGTGGGCTTTGGGACTCCTTGCTGGTCTGATCCTGGGATCTGGGTCTGGTGGGAAGGTGTGTAAGGCAGGTTTAGGGAATGACCTGACCTTCTCTCCACAGGCAGTCCATTCACAGCCAAGAGATGCTGGGCCAGCTGCTCCAGGAGGTTTGTGTAGTGCCCTTGCCCTGCATGACTCACCTACCTACATCTGCTTGGTGGTCTGGGGTCTTAACTCCCTCATCCTCTTCCCAGTAGCCTTGCTGCAAGTGAGCTCTATCTGAGATATAAAGTGCTGTGACCCCCTCATGAAGAGTCATAAGACAGAGCCTCCAGGGGTTTGGAAGCTGGGGCTGAGTCTCATTCTCAGGTATTGAGGACAGTGGGGAGCAGAGGTCAGGGCCCACCTTCACCTTCTGTCCCCGCAGGTGTCCTTCATGGCCGTGATGAAAGCCTGACCGTAAGTACCCGTGTGCTTGCCGGAGCGCCGCCACTCCCCGCCCCTCAGCATCCGGGCACACCTGCAGCCCGTTGTGAGCCTAGACTTCTCACTTCTCATCAGCTCTGAGGACTGGCTGTGGATCCTGAAGAGAAAATAGGGTGCTTTGTCCTGGATAGAAGACATCTTGGGGTCCAGTGGGTGCTGCAGGGTGGGCTAGGACTCCCAAGTGACATCTTCATTCCTCAGTGAAGACCAGGAGATTCCTGGGGCCCAGACCTGCTGTGGAAGTCTCTGAAGAATCCTCATACCCTCTTGACTTCAGAAGCCTTACACCAGGCAGACAGTTGGTGACAAGTGTTGAAAACTATTTATTACTTGAATTTTTTTTAGGATATGACTTTATAAATAAACATGATTAATTTATGAATTGATCTTGTTCCACAAAGCCCAAGGCCAAATTAAGATCCTAGTAGTCACCGGCACAACTGGGAGGGTGCTGAAGTGGGTGAGGGCAGCGTGGCTCTGGAGAAGGTAGGGAATGGAAAGCAGATGATTTTGGCATTGTGTTGGCATCCTACTTTGTAACTGCTGGTCTGTTACAAACTGCCACTCTTTTGTGTCCTACTGTGACGGGCTTTGTCAACATAGGCTGGACCCATAGGCTTGTCAGATGCCTGAACAGCCCCCCTGCCCACTGCACAGCCATGGAGGAGAGGTCCAAATTTTCTGTTCATGGGGAGACTTCTGATCATGTCCCCTTGTGGGCCAGGTCTTTGAACTGTATTGAGGTGCTACCTTCTCTGTCATTCATTCATTGGCTTGGTCAAATGTCTGCCTGGTGGCCCTCTACATCACCCCTGTTGATAAGCCATAACTTCTTGGGCAGCTATATTTGGTGGCACTCATTGACAAGGGCTATCTCCTGACTTGTCGTCCTTGGAATTGGATCCCACCACCCTTGGTGTTTAGCAAGCCCTGCAATGGCAGTTTGCACCATCACCTGGCCTGCAGGACTAGCGTAACTAGGGTGGGATAGGCCTGAGTGCTTGGCAGGATGTGTTGGTCTTTCCCTTGAAAATAAGATGTGAGGGCTTCGATAAAGCTGGACAGAAGGCACCTGCCTGTCTCCAGCTGCTACCTAGATGTCTCTATCATCCCAGGGACACCTCTTTAGTCTGCACCTGGACAATGCGCTGAGGCCACCATCATCCCCTTCCATGCACACCTCATTCAACAACAGCATAGCAATTGGGTTAGACAGGACAGTCTCTCTAGACAGGGCCTGCTGTCTCCCCACTACCAGTGACAAACCCTTGTTCTCTGTGGGCAATGGGTAATCCAGTTCCACAGTCTAGATTTTCTTTTTTTTTTTTTCAGATTAGACCCCTTAATCCAGAAGTACACAGCAGAATAGGATTTGGGGCAATTTGGGTAGAAACAGAACTCTCCCCAAGAACCTGGGCAGCCCCAAACTTGAATTTAGGGTCTTTAGAAGGATGGAGGCCTGACTGGATCTTCCCCTGGGGGCTGAAATGCTTGGCCTTTGGGTTCTACCCAACTCTGTCACCTGGGCAAGGCTGCCTCCAAGGTAAGGTAGACCCTAAAGACCTGCACTGCTACAGCAGCCCTTCCTAGGGGTCCCCTCCAGTTGCTCCCCAAGCCAGCATGTTTATTATTTGCTGTCCCTCCCCCTCTCAACTGTCTATTTTGGTAGTATACCTGGGGACATCTTAAGAGGACTCTTGAAGAATAGCCCCCTGTAGATGGAAGTTTCTGTCCAACCCAGTCCCGTAGCCATTTAGTCCCAAATAAACACACATAGGCTTATATTAATTATAAACCGTTTGGTCAATGGCTCAGGTTTCCTATTGGCTGGCTCTCTCTAAATTATTAACCCATGTCTGTTAATCTTTGTATCTCCACGTGGTTTTGGCTTACCAGAGAATGCCCAGACGTCTTACCTTCCTGGCAGCTACATGGGCGTCTCCCTGGCAACTCACTCTCTGAGTTCCTCTTCCCAGACGTCTAGTCTGGTAGCCCCGCCTATACTTTCTGCCTGGCTACATCCTGGCTGTCCATTGGCCAAAACAGCTTTATTCAATAACTAATAAGAAACATTTACAGCATATAGAAGAAGGACATCCCCCAGCAGCCCTCTGCTTGACAGCTTACAGGAAAGGTCCCAGGAGTGCCTGGCCCCTTAGGCTGTCCCAAGGAACACACCTAAGCCTCCACCCAGTGGACTTTTCCCAGCTACTAGACTGAGTCAAAGGTCTGCTTAGGGGTTGGAGGTGCCTGGATCCCCACACCCTTGCCTAGAGTTCCACCGTTACTATGCTTCTCAGCAATACCACGGCTCCTGAGGGAGGCCTTTTGAGGACTTACCACAGTACCAGACTGCTGCTCCTCTGTGTGTTTCCTCCAGGAGGTACACTTAAGCTGCGGCCTGCTCTTAGGATCTTGGGGTGTTTTCAGCCAGATCCCGCCTGCCTCCCATGTTCTAAGGAGTTCAGGTGTCTAGCTGAGGCAGGCACTAGGTGAACAGCCGCCAGGCTGTTACTTCTCAGGACAGCCCTGGTTTGGAAGGGTGAACATAGGCCACTGTGGACTCTAGGGGACATTAAAGGACAGGCGGGGAATGGCACTCCCAAGGCCATGGAGTCACCCCCACGATCTGAAAGTCTGCCCTCCCCTTAGCAAGGTGATTAGGACACAGGCGGAGACTGCATGAGGGGTACTACTGTTTGTGATGGTTAGGTCCTGATCCCGCCACCCTGAGTATGCCAAGCCCTGTAGTGGCAGTTTCCACAGTCATCGGGCCTACAGGACTAGCTTAACCAGGGTGGGAGCAGGTCTGAGGGGGTGGCAGGATCTCGTCAACTTGGCAGGATTTAGGATCCCCCCAGGAACATCTTGAGCATGCCTGTTCTCAGGTTAACTGAGGTGAGCAGACCCAACGTGAATGTAAGAGTGCCGCTCTGTCAGCTGGAGGCCCAGACAAAGTAGACCATCAGACCCTGTCCCTGCTTCCCGACTGCAGACACCAGTGACCAGCTGCCGTGCGCCATACCTTGCCATTGTCAGATCTTCCCACTGTGACAGACTGCATCACTTTTCGTGACCGAAAATAGACCCACCCTTCCTGTGGTTGCTTTAAATCAGATATTTTATCACAGCAATGAGAAAAGAAGCTAATAGAGTGTCCTTATAAAGGGGACCTTGGAGAGCTCCTTACCTCTCCAGCACATGAGGCTGCAGCAAGACCACCAGCCGCAGACCAGCCACTGGCTCTCCAAGACCTTGCGTTTGGCCTTGTGGCCCCTGGAAGTGTCAGGCAAATTCCTGTTGTTTGTAAGCCATGGGATACGTGGAGCAACCTGGTAGGAGTGGCAGGCTTCTGGGAAGAGCTGAGACATGTCAGCAGGGCTTGTCTTCCCTGGTGCCCAGGGCCACACGGTGCCTGCTGAGCACCTGTGGTGGCAGGAAGGCATGAGGGTGGGCCTGGCAGATCCAGAAGGGCGGGTTGGGTGTGTTTGTGTGAGAATGTTTCCTACCTGGGAGACTTTGGCCACTCTGCCAGCCCGGCTCCTTCCCAGGACTTCCTGCTCCAGAAGAGTGGGTAAACGCCTCTTGAGGCTGTGTGCTGCCCAGTTCTGGCTGTCCCTCCGACCTTTCCCACCCCTCCTTCCTCCCAGACTCAGTCAACCTTGAGGGTCCAGAGCCTAGGGTGAGTATGGAGTCTTGGTCCTGAGGGCGGGTGGTCATGAGGGGCAGCATGGGATAGGAGGCTCAGTGGGTTGGGTTGGGCTCATCAGAGCGTTGAGCATCATATAGGCCCACCAGCGCATCCCAGGCTCTGTCCCTGTATTCTCCTGACCCCTCTCCTTTCCCTGGCCCCACCTCTTCTTTCTTCCCCCTCACCCCTTCCCACTGATAAACATGCCTTACTAACTTACAAAGCTTCCCAGGAATGCTTCTCTTAGTTTTATGTATGTATGTATGTATGTATGTATGTATGTATGTATTTGGTTTTTGGAAACAGGGTTTCTCTGTATTGTTTTGGAGGCTGTCCTGGAACTCACTCTGTAAACCAGGCTGGCCTCGAACTCATGGAGATCCGCCTGCCTCTGCCTCCCGAGTGCTGGGATTAAAGGCGTGAGCCACCTCTCTTGTTTTTTTCCTATCTTTTTTATCCTTTGATATTTACCAGATTTAAGCCAGGTTTGCCTCCACATGAAATTAATGGGAGAATCGTTTTGCTCTTGGAGATACATTGCAGCCTGTGGAGCCACCACAAGGCTCTGGGTGGAGCTGCTCTGGCAGAGGGACTTTCTCTGCTTTGGTGTAGGGCAGGCTGGCCTTGCTGGCTGGGAGCACTTTCTGCCTGCCCCCCCCCCCCCCCCGTGCCTGGCCATTACTCTTTTGTCCTCTGAGAGACAGCACCCACATAGACAGTGTTGTCTCAGGTCTGGGCTGAGGCCATGTCGCCAATGGCCTTGCATCTCAAGGGACACAGGTGTAAGCTCAGCAAGGATGTGTGCAGTCCCCCCCACCCAGACGAGGGCTCAAGCTATGCTAAACTTTGATCTCCTGGGATACTTACCCCTTTGCAGCTGGCCAGGAGTCCACCTACCAGGAAGGTGTGACTAGCTTCGGGGGCTGCTGGCCCAGGAATCGGCATTTGTGCTCTGCCGGTGCCCACAGGCTGGGTAGGTGTCATAGGACGCTGTAGTATTTGTACCTATAACTCTGCATCCTAATTGATCGGGGCTTGTCTCTCCTCCTCCATGCCCAGCAAGGGTGCAGAGCAGGAGGGCCACTCACTTGACACAACTTCATGTCCCAACCTCATTTCATCCTGCAGACACCATGTGCATATGTTGGTTGCATATGCCAGTGCCTTAGATGTAGTGCGATGTCCAGCACCTCCACCTTGGAGCCCCTGGCCCTTTAGGGAGGACCATGTACACACAGGTAGCCTCAGCATCCGGACAACGAGATGGCGGATGAGCATACAGTGGATCGACAGGGGGCAGAGTGTGGACCAGGCACCCTCAGGGATGGGTCTGCAGTGTGGGGAGAGGACTACCCAGAACAGCACCCAGATTAGGCTAGAAGGACAGGCAAAGGCCTTGTGGGACCCCAGGACTTGAATATTAACCTCATGGGCAATAGAGAGTTGTCCATAGGGCTGCGTGAGTTCTCTCTGGCTGAAGTCTTGTGGGCCTCTTGAAGGCTGTGTAGCCATGTGGGTGGTGAATGCATGTAAACACACACACACACACACACACACACACACACACAATCTTCTTTAAAAGTCTTTAAATTATACACAGTATATTCCTTAAGTATAATTAAACTTAACAATAAACCATTAACAAAGAGCTATGACATCTAAAGAAAGCCCCAGAAGCTGGGGGTGATGGCACTATTTGCTATCTCAGTATATGTGAGGCTGAGGCTGGGGGATGGCTATAAGTTCAAGACTACCCTGGGCTACATAGTGAGACTAAGTCTCAAAAAACTAAGACAAATATTTTTATTAACTTGAAATGTTCCCAAAACAACACATTTAGAAATACTTCAAAGATCAGTGATAACTAAAAGAACATTAGAAAATACTTTGAGAGCTAGAGAGATGGCTCAGAGATTAAGAGCACTGGCTGCTCTTCGAGAGGACTTGAGTTCAATTCCCAGCAACCACATGGTGGCTCACAGCCACCTGTAATGAGATCTGGTGCCCTCTTCTGACCTGTAGGCAGAACACTGAATATATAATAAATCTTTAAAAAGATATTTTGAAAACAGAACTTAACCAATATTTATGAAAGAAGTCAACGACTGGATTGTTGGTATCAGGCTGCATTTAAGCAATTTCCGATTTCATCTGAAGTGACATCTTTGTTTTCTGTTTTTCTCGGCTGCCCCCTGTGCCCTATCCCGCCTATGCTCCCCCTATTTTGGATATCTGGCACTTTGTTTTCTATTCCAGTTATCTCCTCCATTGTGTATGTGATCTTACTTCTATGTTTTATTTCAAACAAAATATACACACTATGTATGTGATCTTATTTGTTTTATTTATGGATTAATTGGAAGTGGGGAAGAGGAAAGGAAGGAAGATTGAAAAACCAGACTCACAAATCTGGCGTAGGCAACAGAGAGATCTCTCTCTGGGTTGGCGAACTTTCGAGAAAATTAGTGTTTGGGGAGATGGAAGGAGTGGATGATGAGGTCATCTGGCTACAAGCTGGTTGTGAAGGACTTTGGAGGCTTCCGAGAGAAAACACCAGTTAGCAGACCCCTGCACGGCCCCCGCACTCACGCCAGGCTCCAGGGTGGCAGTATGGGGTCATGAGCACAGGTGATGGTGAGGCCGGTAAGAGCAGTGGCATCTGCTTGTGGAGCATGTGTGCCTCGACAAGGGCCAGCATCAAGACGAGCTCACAACAAGACAGGGGGACAGTGAGAAGAAAGGTCGGAGTAGCAGGAAGCCAGGTGGTAATATGTGTTGTAGCTACAAGAGGAAGTGGCTTTCTGGTGGTATGAGCATGAGGGAGTTTCAGGGCAAGAGGCCCTCCAAGGTCATTTCAAGTTCTATCCTTAATTCTTCTGGTGAGTAAATGGGGGTTCATTTGTATTAGCCAGAATTCCACTAAAATAGTCTATCAAGAGATCTGCAAAGTGAGACTGTATTGGTTTTCCTGGATGCTGCCTGCAGGAGGAGCAAGATAGTGTCTACCAGGTGTGTACTGGCGTCTAGTGACCTGGGAGTCCACGGGGACCTTAAGGACGGATGCTTTGTGACTGCATGATGCAGTCCACGGTTCAGTGCTCAGGGAGTCGAGGAAGTGCACCTTGAGAGTGAAGATGAGTTGTTGTCTGCTCTGTGCAACCAGGTCAGCCTGCTCTACCACAAATAGGGAAGAGTCCGTTTGGACTAACCTTTACTGGAGCTTCACATTGGTGAATGGAAGAGACGTCTCCAGGACTGACCCCAGAAAGCAAAAACAGTGCTGCATGATAGAGCCGGAGAAGAGGTACGTTAAGTTTGTGTTCAGTGTTCACCATCATAAGCCTTGAATGTGCGCCAGTCGGAACAAATAAGTTCTCCCTGAACTCCTCCAGGGACAAAGATGAGCAAAGTCACCGAGACACCAACCAAGGCTTTTCAAGGCCAAACCATAGCCACCCAGAGTAATTACAGGCTGCTGGAGTAGTCATGATTGGAGCCAGGCCCCTGAAGCAGAGGACGAGGCTGCAGTAACAGCCATGGTTACAGTGGTTTTTATAGCTGAAGTTTCCTCAGAGCATCCACCAAGGCCCCCAGCAGCTGTGCTGCCCGGATGACAGACCAGCCTTGTTGTCAAAGAAGTGACTCCTCGGTTAACTCTAGGCAGGTGGCGTTTATTAATTTCTTTTGCAGTATTGAAAGTTGAACCTAGGGCTTCCCACATGCCACGGTAGCACTCTGCTATCTTGGTAGACATGTGCTTACAGTAAGCCTGTGATGGAATAGCATTCTTAACAGAGCTGGGGGGGTGGCTTCTCACCTACAATCCTAGTACCTGGGAGTTGAAGGCAGGAGGATTGCCCTGGGTTCAAGGCATCCTGGACTCTATTGTGAGTTCCAAGTCAGCCTGGGCCACAGAATGAGACTATCAGAAGCTGCTGCAATGGTGACATAGGTCCATGCTGTCACCTGCAGCCCGGGGGAATCCGGGAATCAGATTGCTGGGTTTGATGTACAAAATAACTTTAGGGCAAGCCAGTATCTAGTTGGTGGGAGTCTTACTAGAGATAGAAAGTTCCTAAGGGAACGAAGACACACCTGGAATCATGAGTGTCGGCTTCTTGAGGAGTGGCAGCTTATTAAGACACTTTTAACAGATTTCTAAGTACATGGTGGAGGACGAGAGAGACAGAAAAGATAAAACATACCCAAGTGTGACCACTCAAGAGAAAGTCACAATTAAGTGTCTTAGTGTTAGCCACACGTACTCAAGTTACATCCCAAAGGTTGCTAAGCAATTGTTTTCCCTTTTCCTAGATTTAAATAAATGGGATTGTATGGTTGGTCCAAAAGTGCCTTGGATGGGGTTACAAGATGGGGAAATAAAAGTAGGAGCCACTAGGGTCACACTAGGGCGTTAGGACATGCACTTTTACTACAAAGGGACTTCTGGTGGGATTCCTAGAATGCCACAGGGGAGTGGATGCTCACTACCTTAGAACTCTTGAGTTTTAGGTGAGGAGAGGCTTCAAGCAGACTCTGGTGAGGGGCTCCTTTTCCTTCTCTTGTCTGTATGCTTCCCTGTCTTTCTATATTACTTAGAGACCTTGCCTCCAAAAATCCAAGGCAACACAAAAACAAACAAAAAGACATTCTCCATAGCACTTTGCCCCTTAGCTGAGCACCTTCAGCAGAGTCTTGTCCCTCTGAGTTGTCTGTGGACCCCCTTGTTGCCCTCCTCCATACCCATCGCACACAGCCGCCTGCTCTTACCCAGGGCTCGTGTCCCACAGCCTTGCTCAGTCTTTTCCCAGCCAGAAAGCCTGAGAGGGTCTCCATGTCTGCCTTCAGTGCACTCCCTGGGGGCTTGAGCCAGTGTCTGGCTCTCCTGGGCCATGATTCTTCCCCATTGTGCAGTATGCATAGATTTGGGGCTACCAGTACAGAAGTGGGCCCCCAAAGTCCTGAGGAGGCTTCTGTTCCCTAGGTGATTCTAGATCATGTCACATTGGCAGCCAATATTGGGGGGGGGCTTAATTTGTTTGGTTTTGGTTTTCACAATAGGGTTTCTCTGTGTAGCCCTGGTTGTACTAGAACTCACTCTGTGGACCAGGCTGGTCTCAGACTCTGACATTCACCTGTCTCTTACTCCCAAGTGCTGGCTTTAAAGGTATGCATCACCACCACCCAGCAGAGCCAATGTTAACTGTCACACGTAAGAAATCCACAAATCCACCACACCCATGTTGGTGGTGATTAAACCAGGACCAGTATTACTTCTCTGCCTTCCATCTGCCAGCTCAGATCGTTTTAATCATTTCACCACCAAAAGGTCCAGAATGAGCCTCTCATAACCACAGCTACCCTGGCCGGATGGCGGTCTCCTCTGTTCCTAACAGGGTAGAAAGAGGCAGCGTTCAAATCCCATCTTAAATTTGAAAAAGCAAGTTCCAGAACTGAGCCAGGACCAGAGGACTTGGCTGCAGGCCAGAATCTTCCATGTGCTCTTTCAAGCGTGGTCCATCTCAGTTGTGGGCTGGGCCAGCAGGTCCCCTGAAGAATGATGCCTCCAAGCACGTATGCCAGAACAGGCAGAGTCAGTCTCTTCTGTCCGGGCTGTGTCCAGTGCGCCGCCATCTCCTTGGGATGTGCACACTTCATGTCTGCCCTCTCCTAGCTTAAACACTCTTCATAGGATGCTTCTCCAGGGCTGTGGCCTCTCCCCACATCTGCAGCAATACTTGGCCTTTCTCTTCCCCTTCCAGGACCATCCAAAGGCAAGAGCTTGTTGCCAGTCACTTAGCAGGGAGACTAGCCCCATCTGTATGTTAACCGGTTCTTGCTTTGTGACATCAGGGCCAATAGCAATGAGAAGTCGACAAAGCCTTCCTTCTTGTCTGCCTGGTACTGTGACACAGACTTAGTTGTGACAGGTGCCCTGGCCACCCATCTTGACTCAGCAACTCAGTGGGGACCAGAGGATCCACCCAGTTTACTGCTGATGTGTCTTCTAGGTCTCTTCATTGAGGGCATCTTCCGTGCCCCACCCAGTATCTGCCCCTTAGCTCATGACTCTGTTTCATCGCTTGCCCTGAAAAACCCCACCACCCTGACTGATCCTGCCTGCCTGCTTGAATCCCTTACTTAGTGTTCCATGCCCATCATTCTCCCAACAACTTCCAGGCAGCTCCAGATGCCCAAGTAGACTCTGGTGTTACTGGATTTCTGGCAAGACCACACTGTAGGAAAGATTGCTAGATCTTTCTGTGATGCAGCTACAAACTACTGAGGACCACCACATGGCCCGTAGGCTCTCACTTCTGAGCTTAGGTTGTGGCCTGTCAAGGATGCCTTCCCTCTTTGCTTGCCGTCTCTGAGGGGAACCAATTGCCACATTGTAGTCCCACAGTGTGCAACTGCTGTGAGAGACTCCAATGTTCAGGTGCCCAGGGGCTCTCTGTATATAGGCAAAGGGGAGCCTGACTCTTCATTCTGTAAACCTTTTATTGTGTGCCACTCAAAATGCCAGTGACTTAAAGACACGATGGAGCAAGGCAAAGGGTTTATTTGGAAAGCCGGCAAGCTCCAGATACAGATTATCAACACCTTGTCCCAGGGCTGCAGGCCCTGCCTTATAAAGAGAGTCATGGGGGGTTATCAGATAGATGAGCAATGCAGTTAGAGATGTCAGCTTGTCAGATCTGACACACTGGGTGGTTGGGGTTCTTTAAGTCTAAAGAAAAGTTGTTGATAAGAAAGTCACTAGGTCTATTTCCTAGGAACAGTCCACTCTGCAGTGGATGACAAGGATATAGAAGTTGTATTTTTTTTCCAGGGAAAGGGGTGTAGAGTACTTTCCCTGGGAAGACAAAGGGACAGTCACTGGAGAAAAGTTTTTAACAGCTGGCTGCTTCTGCAGCAAAGATAGTGGGTTCATTTATTACTTCTTTGCCTTACAGAAAGTCCATGAGCCTGCAAAAAAAGTGATCCCTGCTAAGCGGTGGCGGCGCACACCTTTAATCCCAGCACTTGGAAAGCAGAGGCAGGCAGATCTCTGTGAGTTTGAGGCCAGCCTGGTCTACAGAATGAGATCCAGGAAAGCCAAGGTTACACAGAGAAACTCAGTCTCAAAAAAAATAACCAAACCAAACCAAAAACACAAAACCAGAGAGAGAGAGAGAGAGAGAGAGGTTCAGCTGACAGTCCCCTCCTACTGAGCTTTGAGATGAGACCCAGAGGCCCTGGATTGGCTGAGCCCTGACCCCTGATCCATAGAAACCAGGCGATACTATCTTTGTTGTCTTCAACTGCTTGCTTTAAGGGTAATTTTTGTGTGAGTGTAGCAGTGTTACTGCTGTGAAAGACACCAGTGCTGATGCCAGCTTTGCCCATCCGTTAGAGTCTGCAACCTGTTCTCTCTGTTCTCTCCTCCTTCGGTGTGCTAGCTGCAGGCGGTGTAAAGAAGCCTCCCGAACTGGTTGGTCACGCTGTTGCAGCTTGTGTGAGAGGGGCAGGACAACGGTGTGTGTCTTCGTTTTCATAGACTGGTTTTTCAAAACAAACTCTTCTTAGCACCTTATGAAGTGAGTAATGGGTTTCTAAAGGGTGATCCCAGATTTGTGGATTTAAACTTGCTGTGTTCCACTCCATTAAATGTGTCCTGTTGATACGCAGACTATCCCTTCTTCACACAGTGCAGCCAATCTGTCCATGCCTCAGTCAGTCCCCATGGGTGTTGCCTTTGTCATCTTTGTGGCCACTTGGTTCTCTAGCACAAAAAGACCATCCGGGTTCATCTTATGCTCTTCCCATCCCAGGCTGCCTTTTATAAGAGTTTCTCTCACTCCACAAGAGATTCCGTATTTAGAGGCTGAGGTGCGGACCTTAGGGGAACTTGTCACTACTTGGTTAAACCTTTGTATGAGTACTGCGGATAACCGATTACACCCTGGAGCACACTTGGTTAAGCTTTGTGTCTAGGCTTTGTCAGTGGACAGAACTAAGAAATACTTTATTTTTTAAGATAAGTATAAACAGACAATTCAGATCCTTACAATGTCCTTGTAACCACATATGTGATCACTCCACCCCAATACTAAGTAATACTCAGTCATTCGGTGCTTCCGTCAGACACACAGCGCTAGGTAACAGGGCCAGTGCCAACTGGGGTTGTGAAAACACTGCACAATAATTTTGACAATTTTTTGGATTATATTGATATATAGGCAAACTATAATTTTGAAATATTTGGAAATTATTACTGAAAACAGCATTTTTCAGCCGTCCTTTTTGCAACTAGGTTGCAAAACGACTGGGTTTCATACTCACTTGTGAGAATAAGAGGGTTATGTTAGCTAATGATAGTACAAGTCAGCTAGCTTTGTTTTGCTTTCACCGTTGAGAGTTCCTAAAATTTAGCTTTGTAAGACCTGGCATGGAGATGCCTACCTTTAACCTTAGCAATCAGGTAGAGGCAAGTGGATCTCTTGAGTTCCAGGATGGCCGGGTTTATATAGAGTTCAAGGTCTGTCAAACAAAACCGAACAACAGCAACAATGAAACCACAGGGCTAGAAAGATGGCTCAGAGGTTAAAAGCACTTGCTCTTCCAGAGGGCCCAGAATTTGGAACTGAGCACCAATCCTGGATGGCTCATATCCACCTGAAGCTCTAGCCCAGGGTACCCAGGGGTTTTTCTCTGCCTCGGAGGACATCCATGCATATTTCTCTCTGACTCTGTCCCTCTGTCTCTGTCTCTGTCTACCCCTCTCTCTCCCTCCCTCTCTCTCTCTGACACATATAAACACACAAATGAAAATTACAAATCTTTTAAAAATAGTTCAATTTGGCAATTACACTGACATGTATGTGTCTCTAAAGCCAAATCTATAACCCCAGGTGCATGTACTAAAATCTAGCTTCTGTCCCTGCCTCTTAACCCCATTTACACCTGTACCCTCTGGCTAATAACATAATCAAAAATAATATGTTGCTTTTTATTATATACAATTTATGTATAAAATATAAACAGACATTTCATTTGTGAAAACACAAGATGGCTGGGCATGGTAGCACATACCGTAATTGTAGCACCTGGGAGATAGAAGTGGAGGCTCAGGAGTTCAAAGCCAGCCTCAGCCAAATAAACCCAGTCTCAAAAAGAAATAAAGCAACCAACCACATTCATAAGCTTCTGGTTCCATGTAAGCAAGATATAAATTAGCTGGGCATGGTGTCACACACCTGTAATCTCATCACACTGTGGCAAAGGATCATGAGCTTTAGTCTAACCTTGGTTTACGGTGACATCCTGTCTTTAAAAAATTAAATTAAGGAAAAGTATAAAAATTAAAGAATATAAATTGTCTAGGTCTGGTGGACAGGCATGTTTTCCCAGGCTGACCTAGAGGCTAATACCAGGAAATCACAACTTCAAGGCCTGGGATACAGAGGGAGTTCAGGACCAGCCTGAGAGACTTAGTAAGATCCTGTATAAAAATAGAAGGAAAAGGAGGACTTGGGTTATAGCTCAGGCATAGAACACTCACAAAGCATGCATGATGTTCCAGTATACTCTATCAAACCCATATATACACATACATACATACATACATACACACATACATACATACACATACATACATACATATAAACATGCTTAGAAATATATTTTTATTTGTTTTTCTAGACAGGGTTTCTCTGTGTAACCCTGGCTATCTTGGAACTCGCTCTGCAGACCGGGCTGGCCTCGAACTCAGAGATCTGCCTGCCTCTGCCTCTCAAGTTCTGGAATTGAAGGTGTGCACCACTACTGCCTGGCCTAGAAACAGGTCTTAGACACAGACGACCCTCTTGCCTCTTACAGCTATGCAGTGCTCCATGGCGCCAGAATCCTTCCTTCAACCAGAGCCCCACAGATATGGGTTGCTGCCACTCCCAGGTCTGCACTGCAATGCTGGCCCTAAAGCGTATGTCCATCACTCTCTTATTGTCTGTGGTAGATTCCTGGATAAGGCGTGTGGGGTCAAGTAATATTATGGCTCTCACTTTGCTCAATATTGGGTCCTCCCACTGGGGTTGTAACATCTTAGAAATCAATGAGTCATAGCAGAGGAAGTCACCCTGAGATCGTTATCAGACTCTTGAACTTGTGCCCGTGTGAGGGGATGGTCATGGGGCTGCAGAGCAGGTGATTTCTATCTGTCTTGTCTTGATGATGCGGGATACCTTTTTCATATCTGTAACCGCCCGTGCGTATATCTTCTTCTGCTTCCATTTCTATCACCAGCCACATCTTGCTCAACCTCAGAGGAAGTGTCTCAGAGAGGTGGTGGCCGTGGGGTAGAGCGCAGGCTGATGTGAGAACGCTCAGCTCTGGGTTTCTCAAGAGAGCGGCCTCAGTGTGTCTCGGGTACTGATTAAGCCAATTCCTGGCCCACCCAAGACATCATACAGAAGCTGCACAAGCAGAAGGCTGATGGGGGAGATAGAAAAGTCCCTCACAGAGAGACTGGCCCCTCTTGCCCAGTGTCAGCTTCTGGGTGGTGGCCATTCCATTTGGAGCGGAGTGAGATGTTTACTACATACAACTCTCATGAGCTGGCTTGTATTGGTTTTATAGAGACAGGATTTCTCTGTGTAGCCCTGGCTGTCCTGGAACTCGCTCTGTAGACCAGGCTGAGCTCAAACTCAGAGAGATCTGCCTGCCTCTGCCTCTGCCTCCTGAGTGGCAGGATTAAAGGCGTGTGCCACCACTGCCCGGCTTGAGCTGGCATTTTTGTCCCACCAGATTTCTTTAGTCTGAGGTCTCTGCCACAGTTCAGGACCTGTGAGCTTTTCTCTCCAGAAGTCTGTCAGGATTCTGGGTTAAGGGAGTAGCTAGAGGGGCCCTCCGACTGGAGGTGGGTTGGGAGGACTCTGTTAGAAAGGTAAGAGGGCTCATGAAACTCCCTTGAGACTGAGGAAACACAGTGGGTGGTTAGAGGGTTATGGTGGAAGATAGCATCCCCCATTGTGGGGCTGGTGTGAGGTCAGAAGCCAGCCTTCCAGTTAAGAAAGGGGAAGGAGGGCTGAGTGTGAGTACGCAATTCAAGGGCAGCGAAAGGGTAAGGAGGCTCTGAAGAGGCAGGAGCCAGGCCCAGAAGGGCGTGTGACGAGATTGAAACCGAGCAGCACTGTGGGAAGGCCCACCGGGAGCGTGAGAGCCCTGCCCGAGGTGAGCGTGTCATCAGGGTCAATGACTGAAGGTCCTGGGACGGTACCTACCCTCAGCCCGTGGGGAGGTAAGGATGCTTCTAGCTGTCTTTAGGACACAGTTGATGTAAACTATCCGTGGGCACCAAGGGACAAGTGGGCAGGAAGGCCAGAAGGAACAATGGCACAGAGTCACTGCTGGCGGTGGGTGCTGGGCTCCTACAGAGGAGGGATGAGTGGGGCAGGAAGGACAGCGGGTACTACTGCAGCCCCTCAGAACCCCCTCACAACTCAGGGGCCCCTCAGGAGCTCACAGGTCCTGAGCTGTGGCAGAGACCTTAGAATCTCCCCTCAGGGTCCTCTCAGGATGCCCACAAAACCCTCTCAGCATACTTCAGGATCTTCTCAGACCTCATTGGTGTCCCCTCAGGACCTCTTCAGGGCTCTCTCGGGATAGCCCCAGGACCCTTTCATATACACCCCTCAACTCTCTGAAAGCCCCCTCAGAACTCCTTTAGCTTTCCTCAGGGCTTCCTAAGGACCTCATTCAAGGTACTTCAAGGATTCTTTGGGTCCTCACCATGTCACTTGACCATCCTATGGTAGCTTATTACCAACAAGGCTCTCAACCCCCTGCTCTATGGAAAAGGTAAAGAAAGTCACCTCACATTCAGAGGAAGCTTAGGCCTTCCCTGCCTCAAACCAAATCTCTTTCTAGGTGCCATAGCAGGAAGCTGGAGGAGCCTGAGGGGGCTTCTTTGCTCAGAAAGACCAGGAGAGGCTGGGGTGCAGCCATCAAGGGGCTATATGGGGCAAGTCTCAGACTGAAGGGACGCCCACAATGTGTGGCCTTGTGGCCTCACGTCCTCCGACTTCCTGGCTACTTTATCTGCCTGGATAACTGATGGACCATCTCACAGCTGTACACACTCATTTCTTTATTCTGCAAACCTGTGGGAATTTTCAAGTACTCAGAAAAGTAGCAGAGAAAACAGAGTCCCAGGCGCCCATCCCCACAGGGCCACCTTCCTCACAGCTGCTTAATGAAGATCCCACTGCCCCCAGCCTTACTTACAGGGACTTTCAGGAGAATCGAGGATCCCGCCACTACATCAGATACTTGAGTGTGTCCTGCCTGTGGACAAGAGTTCTGCAAGAGTTAGACCCAGACAAAAGTCTGGGCCGTGTCATGGGCTGCCCGGCAAGGCCTACAGAGGCAAGGACCAAGTTGGTAGCCTTTCTCAGGTTCTGGGGTTGGAGGAGAGAGCCACAGCCTGTACCTTGTCAGGGTCACCCTGCAGAGGCGACAAAGGCACAGACCCACAGAGGAGGACCGTAGCAGGGCCACAACCACCCAGGAGAAAACTGTGGCATGGGAAATGCCCAGCAGTCCCAGCGGAGATGAACAGGAGGCATTGAGGCTAGGCCTGCAGAGAGGCTGCTGGGTCCAGTGTGGGAGGGAGTGGATGGAGTGAGGGTGTGCCCAGGGTGTCTCACTGGAAACTCCTGGAATCCACACCAGGTTGCATGCTGGGGGCTTCCGGACAGTAGGGGAGGCTTCCTGGTGGACATTTACTGAGAAGGTGAAAAGCTTGGGGTCCTGAGACAGTGAAGGGCTTCAGTTCAAGTGGAGCTCAAGGGTTCTGTGAAGGGGGGTATGACTTGTGGAGGAAAGGGAGGTGGCCTTGACAGGCTGAGGACTGGTATTGGAAGACCCTGCCGTGAGAGCAGAATGGGAAGGGAGAGGCTGGACCGTCCAGGGCCGACGGCTGAATGGGACTCACAGCCCTCGGCGTTGTATTTCCACTCTGCTCCCACCCCTTGTGGATTCTAGTCTGTGAACCCACCACACACACACACACACAAAAAGCATCAGAAACAGGGTCACGTCTCCGTGGGCTTTGGCCCAGCCAGTGGGGGAGGGGTGTTCCCAGGAAGATGTTATTTCCAGACCTGGTTCTGTGAAGAAAGAGGGAACTGAAAGTGCCAACGTGTGACTGGGAAACAGTTCACATCCTCTCTGCTAGCCCTACCTTGCACAGCCAGGGTCAAGGACACAGAGGATCCTGCCGTCTTATCCTCTCTCCTGGGGTGGGTCTTCTGTGCGTGGCCAAATGGTCACTTAGATGGGACACAGCACTTAATAGAGCCCTGAAACAAACAGCCTTCAAGAAAAACCAATGCTTGTCTCAGCCACTGGAGCTGGTCGTGGTACCCTGCATCCTCCAGGGGAGGACATTGTGTTCCTATGCCGCAGGCCTGAGCTCCCGTCTCTGGTCTGTCTTCTTTGCTGTGAAGACACACCATGGCCACAGCAACTCTTAGGGAAGGCATCGTTTAACTGGGGGCTTGCTTACAGGTTTGGAGGGTCAGTCCATTATCACCACAGCAGGGAGCAGTAGCTGAGAGCTCCATCCTGAGCCACAGGCAGAGAAGGAGAGACAGAGACACGGAAGACTGGGCCTGCTGTGGACTTAACAGGTTCAGCATATGGGAGGAGGGCGAGGGGCTGCGAAGAGGGTGAGGGCTGCCACGCAGGGACCTGGGTGGCCTCGGGATGGGGTGGTACCCAGGACCTGAGGCTGGTAGAGGCAAGAGGCACCAGTCAGTCTCGTGCAGAAGACTGCAGTTATGGTCCTGAGACTGCCTAGCAGGGACAGTGGGGACTTGGCCAGGACCCTGGAACCTGACCAGCAATGACCAGGTCTCTGAGACCTGGGCATCTAAATCCCCTGAGAAAAGGGCTGGGCATCCCCATAGGCTTGGTAGGTATGGAGACACGGTAGATAGAGAGCAGCTTGTGCCCCGAGCAAGAGAAGATGGTGGCTTAGAGCCCACCATGACCCCGCATGTCCCGCATCTTCCCGGGACACATTACTCTCTAGATCACCAGGCTACTGCTGGGGAGAAACTCGGTGGGGAGGGGAGAGGGGTCTTGATATTGCTGTCCTGCCTACCTATTCAGAGGTAAGAAGCGCCTGGATTGGTACCCTACCCTGTGAGCCAGTCCACATAAAAGTGGGGTACCAAGCCTCTACCCAGCAGCACCTTCTACAGATCCTGTGGCCAGAGGTTGAAGTTGGGGAGATGGAAACTCAGACCAGTGTGCAGGCAGGAGACACTTCTTCTCCTGGGAATAGCTTAGCCCCAGGTGGGATTCTCCACACCAGGTCTGTCTTGGGACCCAGGTCAGGAAAGGTAGTCAGAGGCTGTGCCTAGGGCGCAGTGAAACAGAGAGGTTGAGGCCGAACTTCCCCCTTGGGCGGGAGCTCAGGCTGAGAGACAGCAGACTAGTGTGGACTCCCTACCCAATAAATTCCTCCTCCGGGTCTCAGTTTCCACCTCTGGAAGATGGGGAGGAGTGGAATTGAAGCTCTACCTAGGCCCTTGCTGTTTTTGAAGACAGAAACTCAGTCTGTGGTCAGAGGCTGTGGGGCTCATGTGTGGAAAAGGTCCCAACCCCTGGGTGGTTGGGGCTGGGGAGGTGATCTCCAAGAATGGCCTAGGGAAAGAACCCTGAGCTCTAAGTGAAGATGTTTGTGGCATAGAATATTTCCCAAGGCCTACAGGAGTAAAGGGTAGTCTGGACTAAGAGATTGAGGCCTGGAAAGGCTTCTGAGGAGGTGGGTCAAAAGTGACTTAGTCTGTGGGCTGACTGACCAGGCCTGCCTCTGTCCTATACACGCATGCGGATTGTGTCATCTGTCAGGTAGGGGTGTGCGACATGACTGTCAGTCACATCTTCATGGTCATGTGAGGGGGGACATTGCTGCCTCTGGTCAGGGAGCAGGGTACAGGGTGCCATTTCCTGACCACAGATACAGTGGGGGCCTGCCCGGTCACGATAAAAAAAGAATGAAGTGTGCTGAGGAAGAGGAAGCATCCAAGGGTGCGGCTGAGCTGCCTGCTGGTTAACCATTTCAAGTTGTTTCCAGAGCAAATGCTTCCTTTGCTGTTTCTCTGTAGGTGTCATCAGAGGTGGCAGGTACCAGCTTCCCTTCCCGGAATCTCCACGTTTCAACCCAGCCTCAGGACTGGCGAAAGCAGAGCAGGCGGTGGGGGCGGGGAGCTGCCGCCTCCCTGTTGCTGCCGTCAATAAGTCCAGCAGCCACTCAACTCACTGCAGGCTGAGACAGACAGCCGTGAGGCTCGCCATTGTCAGTCCTCAGCGCCAGCGAGAGCAGGTGCGTGACATGATGTAGCTGGGGCTTCCACGTGGGCCAGAGCTGCATGCGGCTGGTCACCTTTGATGAAGGAGGCTGGGTTGGGATCTGTCAGATGGGTAAGGCGGGGGCAGTGGCGTTTGGTCAGAAGAGGGGTGCTGGGCTGGGGCCCACGGGGTGAGGTGAGGGCGGCGCTGGATGGACGGGGGTCTGTCAGTTAGGTGGGTTTGGCTGGGGTCTGTCAGATAGATATGCTTGAGAACAGTTGGGACTGGACTGGGGACTTGGGTCCTGGGGGCTCAGGACCAGTGCGCTATGCTCCAAAGGGGTGGAGTTGGGGAGGGGATGACTTGAGTTGCAAATACACAGTAATTCGGGAGGTTTCTGGGCTCGGTGTCTTCCTCGTCTGAGACTCCAAAGTCTATTTTGTAGGTGGTGTCTTGCACTTGAAAACTAGAAAAGAAAATAATGGGTTGTGCCTTAGAGAGGAGCATCGAGTTTCCAGGCACAGGCCTTCTTAAGGCCCTGGGGCATTTCCATAGGGGTGCCGGCTCTGCAGTTTCAGAGCCCAAGCAGTAGCCAACGGATAGTGCCTTATTCCTGCCTCCAAATTTCAGGCAGTGGACAGGGCCCCTGGGCCTGACTATGAGCAGACAAGCTCTCGGGGATCTGTGGGTCCCCATCCAGACATCAGGAAAGGTGAGGGACAGGCTCGGGGGCTCAGGCTTCCCTCTGCCTCCACAAACCTCTTCCCTGAATGGGCAGCACTGAACTCAGGGCAGCCTCCTGCTTCTCCTGTACACAGGGGGCTCCATCTTGCTGGGTGGAGGACAGCGCCTGCGCTAGGCACAGCTGAACCCCCTTCTCCTGTCAGCTCCACATCTCCCCCAGGTAGGAAGTTCCCCAACCCAGCAGCACCGGCAGCTTCTCCAGACCATGCATCTCAGCGCTGGCCTAGGGCAACCCACCTGCCCTAGCATCTGGGACTGGCTGACACTGGGCCCTGAGACTTGACACCTGGAACTTGGCAGAAGGTGCCCTGAAGGAACAGCGTTCCCTAGCAGGCTGCTTCTAACAGGACCTCTTGGAACGTTTGAATCCTTTTTCATTAGGGTTCTGTGTTACCTTTTAAATGAGCAGAGGCTTTGATCTAACCCTACAAAATGCTGCGTCATGCTGAGACTAACCTGAAAATACCAAGCTCTGGTATGTCACAGGAAGTCCCCATGGAGCCGTGTGGGACAGTGTGGACATACATCTCACAGCCACATGTAGCTGAGAAGTCAGGCTGCCCCTTCCGAGCCCAGAGGCAGAGAGTAAGAGTGGGGGGCTGCATTTTTAGGTGAAGGGGCCTCAGGTGGGGGCCCAGCTGCTGGTAGCATGGAGCCCTTCCCCATAGGCTGCCCAGGACCCGTTCTGTCCAGCTCCTGGATGCTGCCATTGGATACTGAACAAATTCCAGGGGCAGGTTCTGCTGGAGGCCCCACAAGTTGCTTCTGGGTGAGTGATTGGCAGACAGGAAGGGCCATCTTAGTGGTCAGTGCCAGGGCCTCTGGGGACACCCTCAGCGCTCAGCCTGGCTCAGGCTCCCTCCAGGGACCTCAGAACCCTGAGTTGCATGAAAATAAACAAACAAGCAATGCAGAGCAGGGCTAATGAAATTGTGATAGCTGGCAAGCAGTCCACTCTAACCCAGCAAACATGGGCTCTAGACACGGAAATGTGATAGCCGTTCCGCTGGAATCTGTGCCTGGCTTCTCTAATGAACTGGGGCCTGCAAGTTCCCTGGGGACCAAAGAGGAAATGAGCCCCGGCTCAATCTAGCGTGCATTAAGCTCCCTGTCTGCAGTCGCTGGGGTGGGTGCTTGCCCATTTCCAGTGTGGGAAAGGAAACATGTTTCCTTCCATGTTTCCAATGCAGACAGCCAGCTGAGGCCTGACTCTCCCTGGTGGACACAGCTCTTCCCCTCCTGTCATCTTCCCCAGCAGGAAGCCCCTGTAGCAAAACCGAGAGCTGTGACTCATCCAATTCTCCAGACTTTCCTGGTACCCAGCATGGATCAAGGGGGTGGGCCAGGTGTCCAGTGTGCCTGGGCTCGGCACTTGCTGCCAGTTTCTTGTGTTAGTTCCCACCCAGTGTTGTGGAGTCACACTGGCGCCGCTGTGGTGGGATAACCGAGGCTGGCCTGACGGTGGGATGAGGCGGGGAGTCTGATTGCTGTGCCACTTGGCACACCCTGGGCATCAGACCACTGCCCACGCCCTGGGCACCAGACCACTGCCCACGCCCTGGGCATCAGACCACTCCCCACGCCCTGGGCATCAGACCTCTATCCACGCCCTGGGCACCACTGCCCATGCCCTGGGCATCAGACCACTCCCCACGCCCTGGGCATCAGACCACTACCCACGCCCTGGGCACCACTGCCCATGCCCTGGGCACCAGACCACTGCCCACGCCCTGGGCATCAGACCACTGTCCACGCCCTAGGCACCACTGCCCACGCCCTGGGCATCACTGCCCACGCCTACCTTTGTGGGGCTTGATGGGCTCAGTACCCCTCCTGGGCCTTATTACAGGGAGTAGACAGGGGAGCAAAAGGCCAGTGTGGGCAGTGGAGGGTGGCCTTGGGGACATTCCTGGCAATGGCAGTGGCATGGGCCTCTAAACACATCCAGGTCCTGGAGGGACAGGGCTATGACCACTGAGAACTGTGTGTCTGTACCCTGATCTCAGACATGAGCCTGGGGGTACGGGGGGCCTTGGAATGATGCAGGTCTGGTGGTGGCCTCTCGGAAGTTCCCACAGCTTTCCAGAGTTCTATATACCCTTGTTGTTCTGTGCTTTGGGGACAGACTGGGCAGAGTGGGTGCCGGCCATATCTGTGAATCAAGTGTAGGTGTCTTCTTACAGCCATGTTGGGGCAGAAAGCTGCAAGGCCCCTCCTCGGGATCCTTAGGCCCATAGGTGGGGCTGCCTCTGAGATCTCCCTACTGAGAGCTGCATGCTGAGTTAGGCCAATGGACGTCAGTCTCTGCCTAGGACAATTGGAGGCTTCCTAGACAGGACCTGTAGGCATCCCTCCCTCCCCCTCTCCCCTGCAATAGGCTGGTCCAAGGAGAGAAAGGCCAGGGGGATGAGAGGAGTCATTCTGTCTCTAGCTTTGGCCTGGTCACTGCAACAGTAGGTCTTCCAATGTCTTGGAGGCTTTGGTCGCCTTACCTATTAAATACAGTGAGAAAAGGTTAGGCCTTGAGGGTGACTTTGAGATGTTTAGTTTCTATGGTTTCTTTGGAAAGGGGAGTTTCACAGTGTGGTGCATGCTTGCTCCATAGTTCCTGTATAGAGGTAAGCAGGCCTTGGCACAGGAGTAAGGCCTTACCCTGGGGCTCCTCCTTCTACTTACTGTCACTGACTTCCTGACCCTCCTGCAGCCCCGGGACCATGAATGCAACTTGCAACGGCAGCGTGTGGCAGGAGCCATTCAACTACATCTTCGGCATCTACTCAGTCCTGCTGCTGGTACTGGGCCTGCTGCTCAATGGCCTGGCACTCTGGGTGTTCTGCTGGCGCATGGACCAGTGGACGGAGACCCGGGTCTACATGACCAACCTAGCTGTGGCTGACCTCTGCCTGCTCTGCTCCTTGCCATTCATGCTGTACTCCCTGAGAAACACGTCAGACACGCCAGCCTGCCAGCTCTCACAGGGCATCTACCTGGTCAACAGGTACATGAGCATAAGCTTGGTCACTGCCATTGCTGTGGACCGCTACGTGGCAGTGCGGCATCCGATGCGTGCCCGTGAGCTTCGGTCCCCACGACAGGCTGCTGCAGTGTGTGTGGCCCTCTGGGTGGTAGTGGTCGCCTCGCTGGTCGTGCGCTGGCGCCTGGGGCTGCAGGAGGGTGGTTTCTGCTTCAGGAGCCACACTCGGCACAACTTCAGCACCATTACCTTCTCGCTCCTGGGCTTCTACCTGCCACTGGCCATAGTGGTCTTCTGCTCTTTGCAGGTTGTGACTGTCCTGGTGCAGAGGCCAACCACTGACGTGGCGCAGGCAGAGGCCACCCGCAAGGCCACCCGCATGGTCTGGGCCAATTTGGCTGTGTTTGTCATCTGCTTCCTACCACTGCATGTGGTCCTGACCGTGCAGGTCTCCCTGGGCCTGAACACCTGTGCCGCCCGCTACACCTTCAGCCGTGCCCTGTCCATCACAAGTAGACTCTCAGATGCCAACTGCTGCCTGGATGCCATCTGCTACTACTACATGGCCAGGGAGTTCCAGGAGGCATCCACATCAGCCACGTCCTCCAAAACACCCCACAGGAGCCAAGATTCTCAGAGCTTGACACTCACCTAGAAGCGAACATGTACCATGGACTAGAGGAATCTGTGACGTTGGCAAGAAGCCCTCAAATCAGCCTGAAGCTGATGTGGGTTTTGAACACTCTAGGAAGCTCAGCTGGCCTAGAGAGGCTGTATCGGCTCTCCTGAAGGGACCAGAGGACTGAGATTCTAAAGACCAACGTGAAGGACCCTGGAACAAGACCACATACCTGCCACCCCAGATCTAGAACCCCCGAGGCACCAGAATGGGGCCTTGGTGGCCAGTCTCTGGGTTGAGGATAGAGCTGTCTCCTGGAGATGGTTCTAGCAGGGTCCTCGGTGTCACCCAGATACGTATGGTGCGAGGCAAAGAAGGAGCATATAGCTCAAAGAGCCAGGAGTCATTTTCTGAGAGGACCCTCTAATGGCTGTTTCCTTTAGGGACCTCCAGACTTTATGCCTCCTGCAGGGTTAGGCAGGAGGGCAGTAGCTGTGGTCTGGAAGGCTGTCATCTACAGCACATGACTGTTGATGTTGCCCAGGCTCCGAATCAGGGGGATTCCAGCTCAGGATACCCAATGGTTGTAAAGCCATGCTCATCAGTAACACTGCCGTTGAAGTCCTGGGCCTCTTGGTGGTGGTTCCAGTTTATAGTGGGCCTGTTGATCACTAAGCCAATGGCTGTGGTAGTTATCTGCTGGGGTTTGTTGTGAGGAAGATTGACATTTGACCCGGTACCTGCACTATCTGGGGGTGTGGCCTTAGGCTGCAAGGGGCTCTAGAGACAAGAATCGACTACAAAGCCAGCTCAGGGGCTGCAGAGATTAAGAGCACTGGCTGTTCTTCCAGAGGTCCCGAGTTCAATTCCTAGCAGCCACATAGTGGCTCACAACCATCTATAATGAGATCTAGTGCCCTGCCCTGGTATGTGGGCAGAACAGGTATATATAATAAGTAAATCTTAAAAACAAACAAACCAAAACCAGTTCAGAGCCAAAGCGCAGAGTGCATTTTTTCACCCTTTGTGCTTTATCTTTTGTCTTGGCCCAAATGCTGCAGTCAGAGACCCTCCAACTGGGGGTTGCCCCCCACTCCCGACTCCCACTTCATCCAGCTCTTATTGCCTAACTGTCCTCCATTTTGTGTGACCTTTTCTGCACAAAGCAAAAGTCTGTTCACCCTCCAGACACCAAAGAAAGAATTCCACCCAAGTACAAACTGGTGAACCAGTTTACTGGCGTTACCAAAGCACGGTGGCCCCACCACTCACTCCCTGGTGGCCCCATCACTGAAAAGCCCACTCTCAGCACGGGTGACAACTCACAGAAACTGCACCGCTAGATTACCAGTCCCTAGGAAACTTCCCCCTCGGATATACCTGGACACCCGCTCTAGACAAGATGCAGACAGGGGTCTGAGGGAGCAGTGGCTGGAACCTCAGGTCTGCCGACCCTCTTGTCCCTCTAAGAGAGAAGTCTAACAGCTTTTCCACCAGCATCAATCTGTTCAGCAAGGTAGTATTTTTCTTATTTCGTTACCATGACCGTGGGCAACGGCATTCAGTGGATCACAGCAGCAGTCTTCCTGCTCATGGCTGCTGATCATGCTAAGCTAGAGGAAATGGCTTTCCTACCACACTCCTCCTTCAGATCCTCCATTCTCTCCACACTCTGCAATATTCTCTGAACCCTCATCTTGGAAAGGATGATGTATCTATGGGTATGAAAATATATAATATGCCTGTGTGTGCCTATGATTCTTTTCTGAATAGTACACCTCTAGGCTATAAGGACAGACACTTATTCTAAGTGCCCCGACCATGATAGAAGAAACAAAGCCTCAGGAGGGGAAGAAATAGATCACTTGGGTTCCTGCAGCACCTTCTAGTGTGTAGAATTAGGTTCCCTGCTCACAGCACCAGCAGAGCACCTGCCATGATGAAGATAGCACTCTACCCTCAGCAACCACAGTTTTAAGGGGACATCCCATGTTCCTGTAGGTTAGGCTTGGCCATCTGTCCTAATGATGCAAAAGAAAGTAGTGGAAAGCGAAGGACAGCATCTTCACTGCAGAGCCAACATACTAAAATATATGGAGAGACTGTGAGACGGCTCATCTGGCAAAGGGACCTGTGACCAATCCCAACAACCTGAGATCAGTCCCTGGAACCAACATGGTGGTAGGGAAGAATCATATCCTACAAGTTGTGCTCTAACCCCACACATAACCCAAATAAATAAATAAATGTAAAAAACAGCATAGTAGAAACCCTGTTGGTAAAGAGGAACACTGAACCCCACACCACTATTGGCCAAGGCCAACTAGAACTGGTGGGAACTATTGGAGTAGGTGCGGGGACCCTCCAGAATGTCTGGAGGTGACCTCTGGTTTGTTAAAAACTGCATGTGACAGATCATTCGTGACAAAGCTTGTGCTATACAAATAACTTCCCCAAAGCCCACTCTGTGTGCACCGGCTAGTTTTGCTTTGTTTTGTTGTCAACATGTCACAAGCTAGAGTCATCTGAAAAGAGGGAACTGCAATTGAGACAATGCTCTGTAAGACTGGCCTGTAGGCCACCCTGTTTACCTAATGCTTGAGTGATGTAGGCTCTGTTCATAATAGCCAGAAATTGGAAACAACCTAGATGTCCTTAAACAGAAGAATGTATAAAGAAATTGTAGTTCTTCTACACAATGGAGTATTATTCATCCATTAAAACAAAGCGACACCATGAAATTCACAGATAAATGGATGGAATTGAGAAAAATCATCCTGAATGAGGTATCCCAGGCCCAGAAAGACAAATCTGGTATGTATTTGCTTATATGTGGACATTAGCTGTTCAGTCAATGATACCCAAGCTACAGAGAGTAGATATAGAGTGTGGGGGAGCAATAGATGGATTAGGAAAGGGAAATAGAATAGATGCTATGGATAGATGGGGGTGCCCGAATGGGAGAATCAGGTGGGGATGCAGAGGAGACAGGAGAATAAGAGAAGGGATGTGGGGAGAGACAGCTAAAACTAAGGGCAATTGGAGAGCAATATTGAAACCTAATATAGTAGAAACTTCGTAAAATATGAAGGTGTTCTAAATGAAATCACCAAACTAATGGGGAAGACAAAGTCCCAACAGGCTATCTTTTGCAACCAAATGAAGTTTTTAGTACAGGGATTGGGTTACATCTAATTGAGTTGCTGGCCAAAGGGGTCCCATGGGACTCCCCAAACAACCCAGGCTATTCCAGGACTATAAGTTGCTCTCCACTAACTGATAGTAAGGCCTCAACACCTACAGAACTCATTGACCATGGAGAAGTGGAGCTGGTGCCTACGCAGAGCCTTCACCCCTACACTCTAGCATCTTTGGTACAGGAAGGTACTCTGCGCACTACCAGAAGAGAAGCACAAACACCAAGTCAGCCACCAACTTTTTGATCTACAAGGGTGTTCTGCCTGAAAGACATGCTAGGGTGTGGTGGCACAGACCTTGTGGGAGTGGCCAACCAGTATCTGATTTGACATAAGGCCCACGCCATGAGATGGAACCCATACCCTGCGCTGCTTGGGTGACCAAGAATCAGAGGTTAGACAGCCCAGGGGCCCAGGGTAAAACCAAATACTGTTCTAACAACAACAAAAAGACAGCAGTAAATGACTTCTAATGGCATTCTCCTGTACTCACAGGTTAGTGCCTTACTCAACCATCATCAGAGAAACTTCCTCCTGCAGCAGACGGGAACAAATATGGAGACCCAAAGACAGATATTATGTGGAGAGTGAGAGATCTTGGTACACTCAGCCCTAAATGGGATGTCTCTATCAAATCGCTCCTCTCAGGACTTAGGGAACCCTGAGAAACTTGAGGCAGAAAGAGTGTAAACGCCAGAGGGGATGGAGGATACCAAGAAAGCAAGGCCTCCTAATCAACATGACCAAACCAGCGTGAACTCAGAGACGAGGCAGCAAGCACAGGCCTGGAGGAGTCGGCACCAGGTCCTCTGTGTATATGCTATGGCTTTCAGTTTAGTGTTCTTATGGGATTCCTGAGTGCGTGAACAAGTGGGTCTCTGATTCTTGTGCCTTCTCTTGGGCCCTTTTCCTTCTGTGTGTCTTGTCCAACTCTGAAGTCATAACTTTTGGGTTTTCTTTTAAAAGATTTATTTATTTATTATGCATAGTGTTCTGACATGCGTGCCAGAAGAGGGTATAAGATCTCATTATAGATGTTGTGAGCCACCATGTGGTTGCTGGGAATTGAACTCAGGACCTCTGGAAGACTAGCCAGTGCTCCTAACCTCTGAGCCTTTTCTCTAGCCCCCATAGTTTTTTGTTTTACCTTATTTTATTTTGTTATATTTATTATTATCCCTTAGAAGTCTGTTTGTTTTCTAATGAGAGAGAAAGGGAGTGTATCTGAATGGGAGGGAGGTGAGAAGGAACTGGGGGGGGTGTAAAGGGAGGGAAACCATAATCAGGATATATCATAAGAGAGAAAAAATTCTATTTCCAATAAAGGAAAAAATTGACCTGTAGGCAAGCGTTTTCTTAATGAGTGACTGATATGGAGGGCTGAGCTCATTATGTGTGGAGTCACCCGTAGACAAGTGGTCACGGGTATAGAAGAAAGCAAGCCGACCACAAGCCAACCAAGCGATGGAGAGCAGGCCAGCTCCTGCACCGACTTTCCTCAGCGGTAGAGTATGACCTAAGGGTTATAAGATGAAGTGCTCCTTTCTCCCCAGATGACTTTTGGTTGTGGCGTTTTATCACAGCAATAGAAACCCCAACTAAGACACTATGCAAATGACCCCGAAAACCCAAAGTCCCAATCCTTTGTGTGTATCAGTGTTTGAGCTTCTAAGCGTTCTCTGTGTACCAGCCTGCATCTCTTTTGGAAGTGAATTCTTTCTTTTTTTTCTTTTTTTGATTTGTTTGAGACAGAATTTCTCTGTGAAACATCCCTGGCTGCCCTAGAACTCACTCTGTAGACAAGGCTGGCCTGGAACTCACAGAGATCCACCTTCCTCTGCCTCCTGGGTACTGGGATTAAAGGTGTGTGCCACCACCAACATGTGTGAATCGTTTCTTAATAAATTCTCTTGTTTTGCTTGCTACTATCCTTTGTTTGGGATGCCTGGAATCTCTTCAGAAATGCCCATTGAACTCACTAACGTTGTTCAACAAAGCTGTCCAGGAGGCAAGTCCTATGTGTCTAACTTCTTACTCATTTTATACTCTAAGAGTATCTGAGAGGATCCACTCCAACTGTGGGCATGGGTCAAGGAATTACTATACTTTAACACTCCCATGACAGGATATGTAGCTTTGAGCAGAGACTGTAATCCTCACTGGTGCCTCAAGACACTATAAAACCACAGCAACTTCCTGCTAGGAGCAACAACTTAAAAGGAGCCTAAAATGCTATCAGTCTCTCTCCTTCCTACTTTGAGGGGGAAAAAAGGACAAAAACAAATGTGGGTATGAACCCCTACTCTCTACCAAGAACTTGACTGCTTAGAGCCTAAACCAGTCCCTTATCATGCCTTATACAAGCAACTGCAGTCTAACTCCTGAGGACCTCTGACACCCCCCACCAGATGGCTAGTGTTAGGAGGGGCAAATGGCATTACAAATGTACCTACCCAAGAAGATACTGAGTTGCCCTCCTCTGAGCCATTCAAATATAATCTCCACACAATGCCCAACAGGAAAGACCAAGTCACTCGTCTTAACTGTTATAAAGGGATCCAGTTCCTCCTGGGGTTAGTTCCCTGTCCCATAGCGGCCAAGAGCCGCCTGGAGTCTCAAATGTCTTGACTCCTACCTCACCCAATAATTGTCACCTGAAGGATGGGGTCTTCATTCCTGGAGATTAATAACAGTCACCCCTGTCACAATTACTTTTTTTTTTTGAGACAGGGTTTCTCTGTATAACAGTCCTGGCTGTCCTGGAACTCACTCTGTAGACCAGGCTGGCCTCAAATTCAGAGCTCTGCCTGCCTCTGCCTCCTGAGTACTGAGATTAAAGGTATGCACCACCACCACTCAGACAACAGTTAGCCTTAAGGGCTCTAACCGTTTCCTCAAAGACCTGCAATATGGTTAAAAGGAAGTCTTAGCATTTCAATAATTTCTGGCTACTGATCACCTATGCAACCGTCTGTATGCAACACCCTATTTTGGCAGTAACGAAATCAAATGGATCTTCCAGAATGGTCCAGGACTGAACAACAATAAGTGAGGCTGTGTGGTTATAACCCATCTTATAGTTTGCAATCCTTTAATGCTTTGGGATAGATACCTTCAGTGTTGGTAGCTTTTGTCAACTTGACAGACTAGAGTCCCCTGGGAAGGGGTTGTTGGAACCTTGGCATTATGCTGACCCCGCCTACCCCACCCACAATGACCCCACCCACAATGGGCGTGACACGCATCACCGCCCCCCTTCTCTGCTCCTGGTTGGCCAACACCTAACTCCCCTTATTCCCTTCCTCCAATAAATCCCACATGGGTTTGTTGTGTTTCATTGCCTGTCGATGCAGCAAAAGAACAACAGTAATCTAATGGAAGGATTGCCTCCATCGGATTGACCTGGGATTATGGAGTGTGTGGGCATTTTTTTACATTGACAGTTGATGTGGGAGTGGACAGTGACTCTCGTGGGCAGCTGAGACAATCATGGGGCACATGTCAATAAAACAGGGTCCTTCCATGGCTTCTGCTCCAGTCCCTTCCTCCA